CTTATTAGTGATATAGAGAAATTTTGTTTACAATTATCAATAGTTTGTAGTTCTTCTTTTGAAAATTGTTCATATTCTGGGAAACCACCGTTAACTACCAGTGTTTTTCCCTTTACTTCTCTGTTACAGATAGTAACCTTTGATTCTCTAGCTGCTTCTCAGTGTGGCTGGCTTACTGAGTGGACTTAGGTGACTCCAATCAACCCTGACTGCCTGTTCATTCCTAGTAGAAGGGTGGAGTGAAAGGCGGGGCAGGCCAAGGACAGAGGGACTCCTCCAGCCGCTATTCCCTCTCCTCTCAAGAATTTGTGCCAACTGCCCACCTCTCCATTATCATTTTTGTTCTAGCCTTTTAGCCCTTTTTGGTTCAGTCAAAATTTTATGAAAAAAAGTCAGCCCAAGACATAGGGCCCATAGAGGGTCAGATAGAACACTTATATAACTAACTTTATCCTTAATTTTTTTTCACTTTAAAATTTTAGAATAAATGTTTATTGTGTATACTTTGGCAAAATCTGAAAATATGAAGAAATGAGAAACTGCCAAATTTCCAGTAGAGGAAAGTTTACTGCTATTGATCCTATCAAATAAATCCTACCAAATTAATTACTAAATTTTACAAAACACACACTTTCAGCATCACAGAAAAAATTTCAAAGGTAAATATTTACAAACCATAATAATAATAGTAATAGCTTACATTTATATAGCACTAAAACACTTCAGATATATTGATTCGAGTTAATATAGGAGCCAATTTAAAAATAAAACCAGAGATATTAAGTAAAAATGTCATTAGATGAAGTGATTTTCCAAATTCTGGCTTACATAATAAGGTAAAATTTATTGCGAAGCAGCTTACCAGATAAGTTATTTCATAAAATATTGTTCTCAAACATTTTATTGGTAGCAAGCAATCATATCCTTCTTATTAAGGAAGTAGTTTATAATATTGTCAAATTCAGAATTAAAGTGATCAGAAAATATAAGAATTTTTTTAAATCAATGTAATTCAATATTTACCAAGCACCTATTATAAGCTAAGTACAGGGAATACAGAGAAAACAAAACAAAACAAAACAAACATAGTACCTGCATTCATGAAGTTTGCATTGTACTTAGAGGAATACAAGTAACAATAACGACAATAATCATGATAAGAGCTATCATTTACATAGCATTTTAAGGTTTCCTAAGTACATTACAAATATTTTCCCATTTTATCCTCACAACAACCCTGGGATATGGGTGCTATTAATATCCTCATTTTACAGAGAAGGAAAACTGATGACTAATGGGAAAATATGCTTACCTGACTGTACACCATGGGGGGGGGAAGAAGTGGGAGGGGGAGAAAATTTTAAATTCAAAATCTTATGGAAGTGAATGTTGAAAACTAAAAATAAATAAATTAAAGTTTTTTAAAAAGAGAAGGAAAACTGAGGCAGAGGTCAAGTTACTTGCCCAGGGTCACAGAACTAGTGTCTTGAGGTAAAATTTGATCTCAGATCTTCCTGACTCAAAGTCCCATGTTCTAGCCTGCCTCTAGTCTCTCCCTACTCCAATCCATCTTCTATTTAGCAACTGAAGTGATTTCCCTAAAGTACATGTCCTGTCATATCACCCCCTTACTCAATAAATGCCAGTGGTGCTCCCATCCCTTCTTAACCAAGACCCCTCTTCCTTTCTGGTCCTCCTACACTTTATGTCAGGCCACATACTCTGATCCAATAACAATGGCCTCTTAGCTGTTCCAAGAACAAGTGATTATATTATTTTTTCAAATAAACACACAAAATGCAAGTTATAACCAATCAGTGGTCAAGCCTGATGACAGGTCTTAACAAGCAAGTGTTGGCAGGCAAGTATGTCGTGTATTGTCAGGAACTCCAGCATACATCAGCAGGAATGTGTTGGCACCAGGCATTTTTCCTCTGGCTATCCCCCACACCTGGAAGGCACTCCCCTCCTCATCTCCACCACCTGGCTTCCTTCAGGTAAAATCCCATCTCCTACAGCAGAGATTCCTAAACTTCTTTGGTCTACTGCCCCCTTTTCAAAAAAAAAAAAATTACTCAGCACCCCTTGGAAATCTACTTTCTTTAACCCTCTGCTTTTTTTTAAATTTGTGCCACTTCAAAAAAATATAAAATATATATTTTAAATGATGTATCTTAAATTTAATAATTTCTTGTAAACTTTTAGGTTTTTTCCCCACATTGAAATTTTGAGGATACAATATTGCATCATGTAATCACATAGTATTGTATTGCAAACAAGTCATGACATGAACACATTCCTGCTGATGTATGCTGGAGTTCCTGACAATACACGACATACTTGCCTGCCAACACTTGCTTGTTAAGACCTGTCATCAGGCTTGACCACTGATTGGTTATAACTTGCATTTTGTGTGTTTATTTGAAAAAATAATATAATCACTAGGACTATAACTGTTACACAATAGATGAAACACATATGAATGGTTTTCCAAAATATTCTTCTCTTCTTTTCTGTCCCCTTATTTTTATTCAACACTCCCCAACTGTACCTGAGGCTACTACAGTGCCCCTGGAGGTGGTATTGCCCACTTTGAGGACCTATGTATAATCTACAGGAAGCCTTTCCAAACCCCTCTAAATCCTAGTGCCTTTCCTTTGTTGATTATTTCTTGTTTATACTGTATATAGCTTGTTTGGTTAACACAAAGTTGTTTCTGTAGTCTCATAGGCATACATCTATAATACCATGAGTCATTCATTACTAATCCTACAGATAGCTTTGCAAAAGGTTATATCCTCATTTTCCTTGTTGTTTAGTTGTTTTTCAGTCTTGCCCCTGTATGGGGTTTCCTTGGCAAAGACACTGGAGTGGTTTGCCATTTCCTTCTCCAGTTCATTTTACAGATGAGGAAACTGAGGCAAACAGTATTAAGTGACTTATCCACTGCCACACAACTAGTGTCTGAGGCCATATTTGAACTCGGGTCTTCTTAACTCCAGGCTCTACTCACTGTGCCACCCAGCTGCTGGTTCATTTTCCTTAAAAGTATACAAAGTTCATTCTTTGGCACTCTAGAACTAGAAGTTGCAAACATAGCTGTTTCCATCTTGTTCTATGGACTAATTAGAGCTCCGGGAAGTTAAGCAGTGAGAATACTGGTTTTTGAAGTAAAGTGTTCTCATATGATATCAAGAAACAAGTTGGAAGTATCTGTGCCAGTCATCTTTTGCTTTGATCTTGATGGCTCTTCTGGTGATATGTCTAAACTCTTGACAGAAAACCAAGGAGAAGACTTAGCTGAAATAAACAGGCATTTCTCATCAGGCCCTTTTCCTTCAGCTAAGGTTCTCCTATTCCCTCCATCCAGTTTATATTTATAGCTAGGATGTTAACCATCAGCATATCTACGGGAAACAGAAGGCAGGCCTTGAGGAACTAACAGCTTAATTTCTTGAGCAAATCTTCCTGTGAGAATACCTCCAGACCTCAGTAGAGCTTCCTAAGGCCCCCCAGAATTGCCAGGTATCTCTCACACCCACGGCCAGGGCTGTAGCCATAAATTTAGAACTGAGAAGAATTTCAGAGGTCATTTAGGTGAACCCCTTCATTTTACAATGAGGGCCAAGCCCCTTATACACTTTGCCCAAGGTCATAGCAAGCAGACTTGAGACATGGGAATCAAGCTTTTGACTCTCAATCCAGCCCTCTTTCTGATATGGGTAGCAATGTTAGCAACAATTGTGTTGTTAGTTGATGGGGGTAACAATGCTAACAACACAATTATTGCTGATGAGGGGAGCAATGCTAACAACACAATTATTGCTAACATTGCTACCCCTTTCATTTCCACTACACTCTCTACTGTGAGGACGGTTTTATTAAGAACTTGCTATGCTCCAGGCACTTTGCTCAGCGCTGGAGATCCAAGAAAAGGCAAACAATGGTCCCATCCCTCAAGGAGCTCACTATCAAATGGAGGAGTCAGCATGTAAACAGCTATATACAAACAATTCTTAGGATAAATTGGAGATTATCTTTAAGAGAAGGCACTCAAATTAAGAGGGATTGGGAAAAACTGCTTGTGGAAGGTGGGGGTTTTAGCTGAGATTTGAAAGAAGCCAGGGAAGTTAGTAGTTAGGAGATGAAGAGGGGGAGAATTCTAGGCATGAGGAATAGCCAGCGAAGGCTGGAGTTGAGTGATGTGTCTTATACTAGGCACAGCAAAGGAGGCCAGTGATACCAGAAGTTTATGGAGGAGATTAAGGTGCAAAAAACGTGGAAAGGTAGGAAGAGATCTTGTTATGAAGAGCTCTGAATGCCTAATAATGTTTTATATTGTATCTTGGAGGTGATTCAAATCCAGCCTCAAATATTTACCACCTGTGTGACCCTAGGCAAGTCACTTAACCTTGTTTGCCTCAGTTTCCTCAGCTGGAAAATGAGCTGGAGAAGGAAATGGCAAACCACTCCACTCTCTTTGCCAAGAAAATCCCAAATGGGGTCACGAAGAGTTAAGACACGACTGAACAACATCAGTAGCAGTAGCGGTAGTAGTAGCAGGGAGCCACGCATATGGAATGAAGAGAGAGACAGATGTGCCCTATGGGAAGATCGATTTGACAAATGTGCGGAGGATGATGGACTGGAGTGGGGAGACCCTTGTGGCAGGCCCACTACCATCAAGCTATTGCAGTAAATAGTCCAGGCTCCAGGGGATGAGGGTTTGCACCAGCCTAGCATTAAGTTCTATGTCCTAGGACAGAAGGGAGCATAAACCAGAGGTGTGAGAAAGGCAGAATCCACAGGCTTTTGCATCTGATTGGATATGGGGATTGGGGGTAAGGGCAGTCCTCGCATTCACTCCTGTCCCCTCCAGTCCTAAACTCTCAGGCTTAGCAAATTACGATAGGGTACGGGAGGAAGTAGGTGGGGCTTGAGGAGAGTAACGTTGAAAGACTACGATTCCCAGGAGGCAGTGCGAGAGCTCCGCGCACGCGCTCTGGAGCTCGGCAGCCGGAGTTAGAAAAGATGAGTTTGCGGGCGTTGTCCACTGCACTGGCGGGGTTCGTCCCGCGGCGGGCAATGGGGGCGCGAGCCCAGCTCGGGCCGGCGGCCTTCGCCCAAGTGCTGCGCCTGCCCGAGAGGCAGCAGAAGGCGCTGGTGTTCCCGCTGCAGGAGCTGGAGCGCTGCATGGTCCCGGGCGGGGGCGCCAAGCTGCACGTGAGGACGTTCGACCCGAGCCTGGAGGACATCGCGAGAGCTGAGACCGCCTTCTGCCCCGCGCCCCGCCACCGGATCGACTACGTTAGCAGCGCCGAGCGCCTCGACCACGCCCCCGTCCCCTCCCGCCCCGAGGTGAGGGGGGGGGAGGAGAAGGGGGGAGGATCCCCGGCCGCCGCGCGCTTCCACACGCAGGACCCGATGCCCAGGCAAACTTAATAGCCTGGGCAAATAGTAAATATTCAGTAAAAGCTCACATTTATGCAGCACACCAAGGTTATATATGTTATCTCATTTCATACGGCACCCCTGGGAAGTAGGAGCTCTTACCCCCATTTTACAGATGAGGAAAGAGACAAAGGTGAACCCACTTACCCATGTTCACCTAGCTATTAAATGGCCAAGGTCAAATTTAAACTCAGGTCTTAATGACTCCAAGCACTTAAAGGCTGGCAAAGCCGCTTCCTCACAAAAGCCCTTTTAGGTGGTCTGGGTAGGTGGCATTTCCCTCAAAGAGTAGACATCTGGACTGGAAGTCCGGAAGACCTGAGTTCAGATCCACCCTCAGATACTTACTAGCTTGTGCGACTCTGGGGCAAACCACTTAGTTTCTTTCTTGGCCTCAGTTTCCTCATCTGTAAAATCGGGCTAATACATAATAGCACCTACCTCCTAGGGTGGCGGTGAGGCTCAAGGGAGGTGATATTTATAAATTTCATTACAAATGATGAGGGGAGGGGCAGTCAGCTCAGTTCCCTGTCTCCCATACCTTACTTAGCAGACTCTGTGGAGGTGCCACTCCAAGCCTGGAAGGCCTTAGCTCATTTTCCCTAACTCTTGCATCATGTAATTTAATGAAATTGTGTTGAGGGTTTGAGGGGGGGGGGATGGGGATGAAATGAGCTGATCAGTAGTCTCCTGATCATATCTTCCCTAAAGAACATGAGGGGGCCTGGGCTGTTAAGGCTCCTCTGTGATCCCACGCCTGGTAGATGCCTCAAAGCACCAAGTCCAGCTGTCCACCCGCTCCCACGCTGCCTCTCTCGGTTGGGCTCCTTAGGATGGTAGTAACCCTGTAATACTAACTTACATTTCTTTACAAGTAGTCCCCACCCTAACACCCCTCCACCCACCATGTGGGGTTCAGAAGTAATGTGATTGCTGGAGGAAGGGGAGATGACATTTGAACCTGGGTCTTCTCACTTCAAGTCCAGTGTTCTTTTTAGTTCATATCTCCCCTCCCCAACCCCCCAGCCCAGTTTCCTCATCTCAAAACAATATCTGCCCTTATATCACAGGGGAGGCAGTGAGGTGGCTCAATAGATAGAGCACTGGTCCTGGAGTCAGGAAGACCTGAGTTAAAGTCCAGCCACAGACACTTGCTCGCTGTGTGACCCTGGGCAAGTCACTTAACCCTGTTTCCTCAGTTCCCTCATCTATCAAATGAGCTGGAGAAGGAATGGCAACCCACTCCAGTATCTATGTCAAGAAAACCCCAAGTGGAGTCACAAAGAGTCAGACACAAAACAACAAAATATTCCAGAGTGATCGTAGAGTTCAATTCAATAAACTCTGATGAGGAGCCTGCTGGGTACAGAGGTAGTATGGTACATTGTCGCTGTGGACCCCCCTCTCCTCCTGAGACTGCTTGCTCTCTGGATCTGACCCTCCTCTTTCCCAGTTTGACTCTTCCCTTTCTTCTGGCTCCCGATCTCCACCATGCCCTGGTTCAGTTCTGGACCCTCTTCTCTTCTCCTTCTGTCCATTCTCTCTATAATCTCATCACCTCTCTGTGGCTTTAACTATCCCTCCCCATCTTCCCTGAGTTTCAGCCTCATGTCACTAATTCTCTCTTGGGTATTTCAAACTGGCTGTCCCACTTTTATTGGTCTTTTAAGAAAGTAGTTTTTATTTTACATAACAGCTCAATAGTCTCTGTTCTCTGTTTTATTTATCTGTTCTTTGATGATCAAAATGAAACTGGTTTAGATACATGCAGGTTTGAGATGTCCCCATGCCTTTCTCTCTTCCAGACTTCCCTCCCTCTGTCAAAGGCTCCGCCATGCTTTTACAATCTCTGCTTTATTCTCAGTTCTTCACCCCAAGGAGTCAGTCATTTTCCAAATTTGACCATTTCTACCTTCTTAGTGTATCTCCTATATAAGCCCTGTGCCTTCACTCACACTACGCTACCTCCTTAGTTCAGTTCCTGGTTACCTCTCAATCTGGTGAATGCCGAAGCCTCCTAATGGCTTTGTCTGCCTCACATCTCTCACAACTCCAGGCTGCCCTACATACTGCTGCCAAAGTAATTTTCCCATTGCCTATAGGATTAAAAACAAAACCAAAAACCTCCTCTATTTGGCTTTCTATTTTATTTTTAATTTATGGAATAAAATAAGCATTTCCATAACCTAGTATAATAAAAAAGATGATTGTGCATGAAACTGCAAATCTAGTATGCACAACTTGCTATTCCTTTCGAATATACAACAAAATTATCATGTAAATTTCTTTTTTTCCTTCCCTCCCCGCAGGAGGGCTATCATTAGACATACTACATGTAAAATTATTCTAAACATTTCTCTATCAGTTCTTTCTCAGCATCTCTCTTCATAGGTCCTTTATAGTTAATTTGGGTATTTATAATAGACAAAAATAACTTACTCACTCAAAGTCGTTCTTAAGATAGTATTTAGCTTTTAAAGCCTGACACAGCCTGGTTTTTGTGATCATGCTTCCAGACTTTCAAACCATCTTCCGCACAGCTTCTAACATAATCTTTGTCAAGTACAGGTCTGGTCAGATCTCCCCACTGCTCAGCAATCTTCAGTAGCTCTCCATTGCTTCCAGGCTAAATTATTTAAACCCAGATGGGCAATCTGACTCCTGACATTTTTGCCAGACTCTTTTTTTCTTATCATTCTTCATTCATGTTCTGTGCTCCTTTCCAGACTCATTGCACATTATTTCCCTTCTAGTACTTTGCAGTCCAGCCCTCCCCCCACCCCCTTTTGAGTTCATTTAAAATTGGATTATGTAGAAACTGGATGTCCTGTTTTATTAATCTTGGTATTTTGCATTTTTAAAAAATATTGATCTCTTTCATTTGTTTGCAGGGAAGTTTGGGAACTTTTGGCCATAATGGTTTTTACTTTTTTTTCATTTCCATTGTGAATTCTCATTAATTTTGACATTGACTTTTGTTTTATTTTTTCTTTTTATTATTATGAACTTGATAAAAATCAACAAATATCAGTTTCTCCCCATATAAAGGACAAAAAAAAAGAGGTCTGCATAGAACACTGTGAATTTTTATTATGTGCACCTTCCTTTTTATTGTATATTTTAAATTTATGTGGTACTTCTAACACCACCCTACTTGTCCCTGCTCTCTTCCAAAATTTCTTCTGCTGGCTTCTGATTATTTTCAAATTATTCACTGATGTTCTTTTTTTTTTCTCTTCAAAGTATACCTATAACTATTCCACTCCTCTCATCTGTTTTTTTGATAAAATTAATGTTATCAGTTTTATTTGTCTTGTTAAAAAATAGTTCTTTACGTATCAGCTCAATAGTCTCTGCTTTCTATTTTATTTATTTCTTTTTTGATTCTCAAAATTCTACTTTTGTGCTTGTTTGGGATTTTTAAGTTGGTGATTTCCTATTTGCTTTTTTAGCTCCATGCACAATTCATTTAGGGTTCTCATTCCCTCTTTTGTTAATTTAAGTGTTCAGAGATAGGAATTTTCGTCTGAGGATTATTTTATAAGTATCTCACAAATTTTCATCTGTTGTCTCATTATTTCCTTTAATACAATTATTTATCAGTTTTCTTCATGAGATCATAAGACCATAGATTGAAAGCTGGGAGGAACCTTAGAGACAGTTTAGAAAACTGAAGCCCAGAGAAGTAACTTGCCCAACTTGCCAGTAAACAGGAAAGCAAGTGGCTGAACTAATAAATAGTAAGACCTTCAGACTCCAAACGCAGCACCTGTTTCAATATGACACTCTGCTTCTCTCTTTTTTGATCTAATCATTATCATTTAAATCAGTGTTCTTCATTCAAAATACCTACTAATGTTGAGAGCTAGGACTGGTTAACCACGTTTAAGGAGGTTAGTACTAATACTAGTACTAGCTAGCATTTATATAGCACCCACGGTGTGCCCGGCACTGTGCCAGATGCTGTACAAATATTATCTCGTTTGATCTCGAAACAACCCTGGGAGATAGGTGCTACTGTTATCCCATTTTAGAGATGAGGAAACTGAGGTAGAGAGGGGTTAAGTGACACGGCCAGAATGACACAGGTGGTGCATGTATAAGGCCAGATTTGAACACAGTATTTGTGATTCCAGGCCTAGCGCTCTATCCACCATGCCACTTAGATAAAATCATGTTTTGGGAGACATGTCCTAACTCACAGTTTATCTAAATTTATCATCTCTGTTATAAATTAATTCTGCTATTAAAAACATAAAGATTTGTATGATCTGACATTAGGGTTTATAACTCTCCACCAGTTCATTGACTGTCTTCTTCTCCATTAGTGATAATAATGAGTCTGTTCTTACATGGAAGGGGATGGGAAAACATTTATTAAATGCTTACAATGTGCTTATCACTGTGCTAAGCACCGGGGGTACAAATGAAAAGAAGACAGTCCTGATCTCCAGGGCTCACAGTCTAATTAGGGGAGACAACACATGCTTCCGAGGGGATTCAGCTGCAGGGCAGGTGAAAGCATTTCCTTTACAGGGGAGAGAGCCAAGGAGGCCTTGGGGCAGTGGCAGATGGGAGAGCAGTTCCCAGGAGAAGATCATAAGCATAGGTGGACTTCAAGGAGCTAGAGCAGGACATGTCATTGACCAGTGATTGTTGGAAAGGGAGTGGTGGGCCCAGGCGAGAGCTCTGCATCACCTCCAGCAGGAGGAGGGAGGGGAGACAATCAGCATCCTGCTACAGAGGGCCCAGCTTGGCTGTAACTGGGCAATTGGGGCCGGGGCAGGGAAGGAGAAAACGTGCCCTGCTCCCTAGCGCACTGGTTATACATCTTTTAAACCAGTCAAGCCCACATTTAAATTCAAACACTGAAAGAACTCCAATAAAAACAGCTGGCCTCCTGTCTAACCGAAAGTCAACAAGAATGAAGCATTTTGCTCTTTGAGACAATTACATGAATGCTTCACATTTTGATTGGTGTTATCATGGTAGACTAGGAGCGCACCATTCCTCAGCCTAGAAAGCCAATGCATGCTGTATTTTCTGATTAATTTGGCAATGCCTGAACTGACTCAGCTAACAAAGCCTTATCACTGAGGTTTAATATCACTGGGGAAGGCATCACAGCCACACTATCTTTGGGACGCGTTACTTTGAGCAAATCCCTGAATCTCCAAGAGCCTGAGTGTCCTTGTCTGTAAAATGAAAGGGTTGACTAGCTATCCCAGCTATTAAATCTGTGATCCTGCCCTGCAGGAAATGGTTTTACAAATAGTTTCAGATTCTAACTTACATGCAGTGGTTATTAAATACTAAGGCAACCAGAGGAGTAGGTGAGAAAATAGTGCTCAAGGGATGCTGTTTGCTTTTTTTTAAAAGACAATTTTCTTGAAATGTGCAGCATCTTGCACCTAGAGAATGCTCAGTAAGTATTTTGAATTCAAATAATCTGTTTTGTATATTAGGGACATTCTTGGAATGTATTAGAAATGCCACAAAGCTGCACCTTCCAAACACTTTTTTTTTTTACCTGCAGTAGAGAGCTCACGTATTCTTGAGTATTAGGAATGTTTTTTTTTTCTTTTCCAGTACGTTCAGCTAAATTTAAGTTTTGCATCCCCTGAATCTGGGAGTAGGGAAGTAGTCTATACAGTAGTCTTTACGGAGGTTTGTAACTGAGAAAAAAATACTCAGGTTTCATGTTGTTGTTTTATTAATTCTCTTTTCTGTAAGGTCTGCTTTATAGGAAGAAGCAATGTTGGAAAATCATCCCTAATAAAGGCTTTATTTTCCCTGGCCCCTGAAGTTGAAGTCAGAGTTTCAAAAAAGCCGGTATGTTTAAAGCTGAATGGAGCATATCTGTATTTTGTAAAGTGAGTGGTAATGGGTGGGAAGATGCAAAAAAACCTTTTTCTCTTAAGTTTCCAAGGGCTGTGTTTTTTGATGGTAGATGCCATTCCTTTGTGACATGAGCTAACTCTCTCCAGGCAAGTAGCTTAGGTCAGGCAGGGAAAGAATGGCATTTTCATGCTTTAATTATTTGAGTACTTTGGAAAGAAAGGCAGAAGTATTTTTTAGTATGTTTACCAACAGTTTTATGCCTTTCCAAAACAGGGTAATTTTTTTTTATTTCACTTTTTCCTCCCGTGGACATCCTTTATCTTCTTTTCTAGGAAAAGTTTATTTAACGGTTCTGCATCTATTTCAGGGCCTCTGGTTTCACATACTCTTTCATTTCTTAACCTCATTTGTACCTTGCCAACTTTTCTATACATATACCATAAGTACAGACAGTCCCCAACCTTATTATATACCTCTCTAGTGTTAATGGCCACCTTCATATGTTAACAGGGCAGCAAGGTGGTGCAGTGGATAGAATGCTGGGCCTGAAGTCTCTCCTCTTCACGAGTTCAAATCTGGCCTCAGATACTTACTAGTTGTATGACCCTGGGCAAGTCATTTAACTGTGTTTGCCTCAACTTCCTCATCTGTAAAATGAGCTGGAAAAGGAAATGGCAAACCACTCCAGTAGTTTGTCAAGAAGATCCCAAATGGGGTCACAAAGAGTCAGACACAACTGAAACAACCAAACAACAACAACAAATGAAGTTAACACACAATCTTTCCTTTGTGATACCAATGGGAGTTTCTTTCCCCTACATCAGAGCAGACACTTTTGCCCATAACTCTGCCCTCACCAACTTCTGTCATCCCTACAAAAACTCAGCCCCAGTCCCCTGATTCTTATCACCTCACCCTCATGCCCATTGCTAGTAAGGGTGAGAGAGAAAATGTTATCCAGCTATTCCCAAAGAACCCTTCCACCAATCTTCCTTTCTCCTACCTATCTGGTCATCTACAGAGCCAGATGAAAAATAGGAAATTGCTGTGGGACCCTGATTCCTTCCTTCTCTACTGTAACATAGCTCCTTCAAGCCCCAGTACTGGTCACTGAGATGGAAAAAAGAGAGGATTTCTGAGAGTCACCTTAATGTAATGCAGAAATGACTGAAGTGGGTGTCAGGGATTCTGGATTCTTATTCTACTTCTGTTATTCCTGACATAGTAGGATCTTTAATATTCAGATCAGGTAGACATTTTGGTTTTGAAATTTTTTTAATCCATCATTTTCCCATTTGCTTTAACAGGGACACACAAAGAAAATGAACTTTTTCCAAGTTGGAAAATATTTTACATTGGTGGACATGCCAGGTTATGGTTTTAAAGCACCTAAGGATTTTGTTGACATGGTAGAAGCTTATCTGAAAGAACGGCCAAAGTAAGGAGAAACTTCCTAACAATATACATAGCTCATAGTACGTAGTAGTAGTAAAATAACATTATAAAGTTAAGTCATGTCTTTCATTCCCTGAGAGATTAAAAAATTATGTTACCAACAGACATTTGTAAAATCTTTTTTTTTTTGCCTGCTTGTAATTTTCTAAAATACTATTTTGGACCAAAATATTCCATGATTGGCTTCAATGTGTGGGTGAGGATTATTAATCCTTCTAAGTACTTTCTTCAGTCTAGACATATTTCAGGTTGGTTTGCTTTTCTTATTTAGATTTATTTTTTAATATTATTATAACCAAACTTGATAAATTCAGAAAAAGATTAAAATAGTTCTTGCCACTTAACATTTCTGGGAGGGTTCTTTCTTGAGTTTCTGAGACGCATTCAGAATATAGTTGGCTGCCTCAAAGGCTATACGTACCACTATTGTATTGATGAGATGTGTAGTATTATTTCCAGATGTTTGCCTTTTGAACAGTAAGCTGGAAATCCAGTGCCTCTTTATATGTGGGGCAGCTCAGGAGGCTAGTGGATCAAGTGTTGGACTTAAAAGATGACCTGATTTCAAATCCTGCCTCAGACATACTACAGCTGTGACCTTTAACTTTTAGCCTCAGTTTTCTCATCTGTAAAAAAGAAATAATAATAGCATCTACCTCATAGTGCTGTGAAGAATGAATAATATGTGGAGACCTCTCTACCAACATGTATAAATACTGTAAAAATGTTATAATGGATAAGTACTGTATAAATGTTAGCTATTATTATGTGTAATACCCAAGTTTCAGAGCTAAGACTACATACAACTTAGAAATTTGGTCATATTTCATATATTTACTAGCTCCTGTTATCACATATATTCATTTGAAATAATAAGCTACATAACAGTATTTCTGTAAGCGTTTGGTAGGTGTTAACATCTTTAATCCTCAGTGTTATAATGTTCAGTGGCTTTCTATTGATTAGAGTAAAGTTATTCAAAAGTATGTACATGCTAAACCAGAGATAGGGATCCTGCGGCCTTAAGCCACATGTGGCCTTCTGAATCCTTAAGTGTGGCCTTTTGACTGAATCCAAATTTTACAGAACAAATCCTTAAAGGATTTAGAAGGCCACATGTGGCCTCAAGGCCTCCGAATTTGTTTTGTGAAATCTAGATTCAGTCAAAAGGCCTCACTTAAGGTCTTAGAAGGCCACATGTGGCCTTAAGACTGCAGGTTCCCCACCTGGGTGCTAAACAACAGCACCTTTGGGGCCATAGACTGAATTTCCTGGTGAAACGGTATTTTTGGTTTTGAGAATTCTGAAGTGACCATGGCCTGAGAATGGTTTAAGAACATCCCGAGGCAAAAATGTGCTTGTTGAGTTGAAAAGTGGCAGTTTGTGAAGAGAACGGGGAGATGGATATATCTATTAAAAGTGTTATTTGATCATCTTTGTTCCATTCTGATTCTTACAGTTTGACCAGAACATTTTTGTTGGTAGATGGTGTTGTTGGAATTCAAAAAGCAGACAGTATTGCTATAGAAATGTGTGAAGAATTTGCATTACCCTATGTGGTAAGTGATAACCAAATTATTTTACATCCTGCTTGCATTCACAAATGTTAAAATATCTAGGCAGAAAGGTTTATGCCTCTGGCTAAATGTACCAAGAAGATGAGGTAAAATTTCTGTTAAATCTTTTAAAAATACGACCTATGATGCTTGCTCTTTTTCTCTCCTTCTTGCCTGAATCCTTTGATATTCAAACTGTACCCAAACTAACATGATGCCCTGATTCATCTACTTTTCATAGGCATTTCACACACACACACACACACACACACACACACACACCCCATGAACATGTGCCTAAAGAAAAGATTCATAACTCTTTTTCTTGCAAAACAAAAGCTCCATGGTTGATCCTTATCACAGTGATTCCAGCTATATTTTTTGCACAACCTGCATTCAGATTTATCTGAGTCACTTTCTTAAAACATAGTATATAACAAGTTCCAGACCATACACGCTGAATTCCTGTACAAAATAAAACTCTTTTTGAATGTTACAACCCTAAAAGGACTATTTTTCAAGGACTTTTTTTTAATAACCCCTAGGTAGAGAGGCAATGGGAATGATGGGGTGCTTCAGATCATGTCTCTGGAAGCCCCCCAGCTTCTCAGTAGGCCCCTGTCCTGTGTGAAAATTTTCTCTTGCTGCAGAATACATTCTTTTATCAGAACAGCCAGAAGGATGCCTGGCCTAACGATTTTTGTCCCTGACTGGCCCAATGACTCTCCCTCCCGCCAGATGCCCAAAGTCTATGCCTCCGATGACTTCCTTGGTGTCTGGTATACTCCCTACACTTTCCCATCCTAGCTCCCAAAGACACCTGGATCCCTAGATTACCTAATCAGCATCCCTGGCATTCCTTTCCTGTGCCCCTTTTCCATAAGCCCCAGCACCATCCTCACTCTCTCACAGGTTCCTTAAGGACCCTTGCCCCGCTTTTGCTAACGCGTTACCATAAACTTTTTGCCACCTGGCTAAAGAAAAGGCTGAGGTGTGTGAATTCATTCCAAGAAACTCTGTATTGGCATTCTTGGAGTCCCAGCACCCCCAAACCTCGTCAGGAGTAGTCTCTAGAGGGCCAAAATGCCTAGAGGAATATGGGAATAATTCCTGCCTCACCTACCCTCTGGCTCCAATTTCTTCTGTTAAAGACATACACATAACAGATAAATCACAAAAGGGTTGATGTTTTCATAAATTTTACATGCCAGCTTTCTGGATGAGAGCTTCGAATCTCAGTGTCCATCTAAGGTAAATAAAGAATGCATCTTACTGCTAGTCACAGCTCTAATGTTCTAACTTGCCCCCACATCCTACTACAGTTTAGTCTCAAATAAATTTAGCGATGTACAAGAAAATTATGAAAAGTTTACCAAAGAATTTCATGAAAATTATAATATGTGATTGAGGGAAATATCCTTCACCTTTTTAAAATTTTATTTTTCAGTTCCAAATTTTCTTCCTCCCACAAGCCTTCCCCATATATCTTTAGAATGCAAGATTTATGATACTCATTATACATGTGAAGTCATGCAAAGTATATTTCTGCATTAGCTATATTCTGGAAGAAAAAAAAAAGCAAGAAAAATAAAGGAAAAATATGCTCCAGTCTGCACTCTGAGTCCATCAGTTCTCTGTTTGGAAGTGGAGAGCATTTTTCTTCATGAGTCCTTTGGAGTTGTGGTGGATCATTGTATTGATCAGACTTACGAAGTCTTTCACAGTTGATTATGATTATTTTATGATATTGCTATTACTTGTGTATGTACATTGTTCTCCTGCTTCTGCCCACTTCACTTTGCATCACTTTCATGTAAGTCTTCCCAGATTTTTCTGAAACCATCCTCTTCATCATTATGTACAGCACAATAGTATTCCATCACATTCATATACCACAGCTTATTCAGCCACTCCTCAGTTGATGGGCATCCCCTCAGTTTCCAATTTTTGGCCATCACAAAAAAGCTGCCATAAATATTTTTGTTCATAGGGGTCCCAGCTCCTTCCTTTTTTTTTTTTAGTGAAACATGTAACTTTACTGAACATAAAAGCTCTGTAAGATACAGTTTCAGCATGTTTTGCCTCATACAGCAAAATCAGTGAATAATCCTTTAGTTAATTTTTTTTAAATAGCCATATGTGATAAGAATTTGATTTATATAAAATATTTAAAATCCTTAGTGCGGAAAGAAAGCACAGATGTTTATAAAATCATGGTTCTTCCTCAATTTCAACCAAAAGTCTAATATCCTAACATTCTATTCATTTTGAACTCCCCTGTATCTTTTTTTTTTTTCCTTAGGAATAAGCCCCCAGGGAGATAGACAGTAGGAACAGTCTGTAGTGGGCCAAAATGCCTAGAGGTCTAGGAATAATTCCCAATAAAAGTAGATATACCAGTATTCAAAATCTGACACTTAATAGCTTTGGGACCGTAGGCAATTGATCTCTCTGCAACGATTTTCTTGTTTGTAAAATGGGACTAATAATATTTGCACTATCTACCTCAGGGTCTTTGGAAAGAAAGTGATGAGGTAGATGATGTTTGGAGTTGGGTTATCCAGAAAGAATTCAGAGGGCAGAGGTTCTCCTAGTCAAGAGGGCTTTATTGATGCAAAAGCGGCAGACTAGTCCGTAGGAGCATGAGCAGTTTGAGATAAGACAGAGGTTTGCTTATATACCCAAGTTTTGGGCACTCAGTTAGAGGTGGGAGTATGCTTCTATATGGGCAGTAAACCACAGGGAAGGATTTCAGGAAAGGGGAAGCAGGTGTGTTTGGGTATTTTACGAAACAGTTCAGGGATGTGGTCACAAAACAGGGAAGTTAACTTGCAACATTCAAGGATATTGGCACAAACCATAGGGGTCAGTCCTGTACACAGAAAATAACAAGGTTTTCTTGTCAACAAATAGAGCCCCCTTTTACTATGCAGATTTAGATTTAGGCAAGGCTCCCATCATTGCTGGGCAGAAGTCAGCCTCATCAAAAAGGGCTATGTAAGCATAAGTTATTATTAGCATTGTATTGTTTTTAATTACATACTGATTCAATTCACTCTCCTCTTTGAAATGAATTTCCATAGATGGTGTTAACAAAAATTGACAAAGCTTCCAAAGGTTATCTTGCAAAACAAGTTTTGCAGATCCAAGAATTCGTTGACACTCATACCCAGGGATGCTTTCCTCAGTTGTTTCCGGTCAGGTAAGTTGAATTACTGTCATTGACTTTTAAGAAATTCTGGTGTTATATATCATTGATATCATATTGCTTGACATCTCAATGGGTGGGGGAGAAAGAGAGAGGGAGGGAGGGGGGGAGAGAGAGAGAGAGAGAGAGAGAGAGAGAGAGAGAGAGAGAGAGAGAGAGAGAGAGAGAGAGAGAAAGAGAATTTGGAACTCAGAAATTTTTTAAAAATTAAACATAAAAAATAAATTCTGCTGTTAAAGAAGCATTAGCTAAAACGGGGCAGGATCAGTGAGACTTGTAGGTAGCTGGTAGATGCTGCAGGTGAGCAGGACTTTTTAGTCCACCATCTTTCCTTATAATTGTCAACACCTTCAGCACCCTCAAGAACCCACTTCTTGCTTTTCCTTCCCTTTCTTCTTTATCTGCTTGTTACCTTAACAGTTCTGCACTGTTGCTTTATTCTGACCCTGCTTGTTCCAACTCACCTTTCTAGTCACTTCCAACAAAAGGTCACAGTTTAAGTCTGGGTCCCACATTTTCTGAAATGGAGGGAAGATTAATGCCTTTTTGAACAGCAGCAAATGCTTTTCTACTTTTTGGTGGAGTGATGGAACGTTATAAAAAAGACTTGCTATCTATAAAGAAGTATTATTTATTTCTAAGACTGATTTAACCACTGTTTATTCCATTGAGGTAGAGATAATTATTATTTCTCAGGCTGATAATTTCTATTGATAGAGCATTTATTAAGTACCTACTACTTGCCAGGAACTAATCTAGGTACTGAGGATACAAAAACCAAAGTAAAAACACTCCCTGCCCTCAGAGAGCTTAAATTTTAATCGGGGGAGGGAATATCACATGTTCCCTGATAGATCACCTATATACAAAGTACAAAGTGATCTTAAGGTGGAGGACAAAGAAGGAAGGCCACAGATCAGGAAGTCCTGAAGGAAGCAGCACTTGGTCTGAGGCGAGGGTGTTATGGTTCTAAGAGTAGTAAGATTAGGAGAGGAGCAGGGCAGCCATTACAGGACAGGCTGTGAAGGAAGCCAGAGCAGGAATGTCCTATATGGAAAACAGCAGGTGTAGGCCCGTTTAACTGGAGCAGAGAGGGAGGGAAAGTAATGCAGGCCAAGCAACAAAGCATTTATTAAGCATTTCCCACAGCTAAGCACTGTGCTAAGTTCTGTGTCTATAAATACAAGTAAAAAAGAGAGCTGGTCCTGCCCTTAAGAAGCTTACATTCTGACAGGAAAAGATCCCACAGAAAAGGGAGCTGAAAAGCATGAAGGTGAAGTCCAAAGTCAGAAGCAGAGCTGAGGGGTATAGTCAGACTGAGTATCAGCCAGGGAAGATGGGCTTGCAGCTTGGAGTCAGGGGTTCAAATCCGATCTCAGATACTTGACACTTACTAGCTGTGTGACCCTGGGCAAGTCACTTAACCCCGACTGCCTCACCAAAAAAAAAAAAAAAGAATCAAAAATCTGGCCAGAAGCATCTCCAATCCTTTTAGAGGCTGCTAAGATAAGGAAGAGCTAGTCCTGTATTCTTCATAAAGCCTTTTCACAGTCCCACCCCTACCCCCAGCTGCTGGTGCCTGCCCTCCTAAACTATTTGTGTTTGTATTTATTCACTTCAGGTTTATGCTGTCTGCATTTTTATAGATACTTGTCTCCACCATGAGTATGTAAGATGCTTGCAAGTAGGGTTTCATACCTTGTATTTGTATCCCCATTGACTCACACAGTTCTAGGCACATAGGAGGTGTTTAATAAATACTTATGGGTTGATTGTTCAGTAAATCCCAGGATTGCAGAACTAAGGGGCATCCTTTAAAGTTTTAGAGAGAGAGAGAGAGACTTTTGTGAAAAATCACCACTGTTTCACAAATGGAACTCCCAAGAGGTGATTCAGGCCAGAAAAGCAATTTCAAAAGTTTAAATAAATTCAGGTTGATATTACTCAGAGAAAAAAAAAACTCATCATAGTTGTTTTTTCTTCTTTTCACAGTTCAATAACATACTCTGGGATCCATCTGCTGAGGTGCTTTATAGCCTATATAACAGGAAACCTTCACATCAATGGCTCATAGCTTGGCTAGGGACTCAGAGGCTGGCTGTGTCATCCAGAACATCAGCATTGTTTTAGATGTTGTCTACCTTTAACATGGCAAGAGGACCATTTGCATCTTCCCCGAGTAATCTCTGCCCCAGTTTTAATGCCTGGGAAGAGTCTATACTAGATCTAATCTTGATGTTCAATTCAAAACAGTTATTTTGAAAAGTTATTATCTCTTTAACAAGTTGAAATTTTAACTTGTTTTGCTCATGGCTTATGAGTCATGAGAAATCATAGCACATTGATTAAGCTGACAACAGAGAAGGGCTCCCAGATAGTAGGGCCTCCCTCTGGGCATTGGGATTCCTTTGCCCCCTCCACCCACCCCCCATTTACTTCTCCAGAACTTATAACAGAGTAAGCAGCTTTGCATCTCCATGGTTGAAGCTGTCTTGACCTCCTCAATACCAACCCTGGAGGAACAGGCAACCAACCTGCAGCTGTGGGTGCGGATAGAAGCTGGAGAATGTGCAGGTCTCAAGGTGTGGTGAGTTTTGTGGCACATCCTTTGAGAACACAATGGAGTCATTGGTCTTATTTGCTTAAAACACATTTTCCATTATACACCGTACTTCAAAATACTACAAAACGGAGTTGTTCAAAAGGGTTGGCTTTTTAAAAGCAGCATACCTGGAAGGGCACATACTGATGTGCCTATACTTTATCATGTCTGTGCTAACTGTATTTTTATACAGTAAGATTTTCAATAAAATTTGGGACCTTCCAGGAAACTGCTGGGAAGTATTTACTGGAGTATAGTCTAGCAAGCTGAGCCATTACAGAACAAAATTAAACCTAACAATGAAGCCATCTTACGTTATAGTTTCCACACCATCTTATGAAAGGCAAAAAGATGAGCCAAGAAAGTTTCATTAACTTTAAAAAAGAAAAAATGTCATCATGTGATGACTTACATTGATAGACTCAGCTCTTCTCAGCAATGCAAGGATCTAAGACATCTCCAGAAGTCTCTTGATGGAAAATGCTATCTACATCCAAAGAAAGAACTATGGAGTTTGAATGCAAATCGAAGCATTCTATTTGCTATTTTTTTCTCTTTTTTTTTTCTTGTGGTTCCTCCTATTGGTCCTAATTCTTCCTTACAACATCACTAATGTGAAAATATGTTTAATAGAAATGTGTATGTATAGCCTATATCAGATCGTGTGCCATCTTGGGGAGGGAGGCAGGAAGGGAGAGGGAGAAAAATTTAAAACTCAAAAGCTTATGGAAGTGATTGTTGATAAATTAAAATAAATTAATAAAAAAAAATTTTTAATGTATCAGATATACTTGAAAAAAGCAAATACAAATTTTTGAATCAAACCAGTATTAGTTAGCTCTATGCTCTATGACATGAAAACTTGGAAAAGAGAATCAATCTCATGCACAGCCCAAGCAACTCAAACAGCTGCACCATGAGTTTTGCAGATGACAAAATTACAGCACCTAGACCTCTTCTCATAACTAGTTCTTATTGAAAAACCAGAGTATAACCTCTTTTTGGCCCAACGCTAACCAGAAAGACAAGCTGTTCTTACAGTTGTATGAATCATGTTTAGAATTTCAAAGTGAGAAACCACTTAAAGGTCTAGATGTAGCTGATGAAAATCAAACTATCAAGTTATGAAACTCTGATTTTTTTCAGAACTCATTTCTCTAATGGTCAACAGCAAAAGGCAGAGCATATCAACGTTAAACAAATTTACATTGATGAAATGGGCCCATTTTTGTGAATCTTGATTAATAACACCTTTAGAGGTGCTGGGATACTAGCAGTTTTAAACAGTAAAAATAGTTTTGACAACTTTGAACAATACATTGACCAACCATGATTTCAGAAAAGAGATGATGAAGCCTGCCACCTACCTCCTAACGGTGAATGGATTGAAGATGCAGAAGGAGACATTTTTGGACATGTGGCCAATACAGGGATTTTTTTTTTTGCTTGAGTATACATGGTTGTTGCAAGGTTTTTGTTTTGAATTAGGAGGATGGAGGAAGAGCAAACTGATTTTTGTTAATTGGGAAAAAACTGATTAAAAAAAAGAATTAGCTGCAGGTAGGTAGAGGGGTGTCTGTGTGTGTGTGTGTGTGTGTGTGTGTGTGTGTGTGTGTGTGTACACAATAATGATCCAAAATAAAAACCTTTGGTGACTGGAGCTAGTTTCCAGATGTCATACTTTTACCTGTTCTTTTGAAGCTGATCAGCACATTGATAATTTTTTTCCCTCAGTGGTTCTGTTGTTTTTCTGTACCTTCTCAAAGAAACATAGATTTCCCTCAACATAAAGCTCTAATATTGCTAGTCATCTGTGTATTCAGAAAAGCCTGGGTTAGTGTCTCTTAATATATCTGTCATATTTCTGTCTGCCAATATTACCACTAATTAAATTCATGAGTCAGGGCCTTACTCAACATAAATTAATAAAAAATGACTTTGTAGGGAAAAAAATGGATCCATCATGTGTTATATGGGACAACACACTAGGGAGTCAAGAATAGTCCTAGCTCTGCAACGAGTAAATTCAGTATCACTGGTTTCAAATCATTTTACCAGTTTTGAAGGAAGGAAACAAATGTTTATTTTTAAGCACCTACTATATGCCAGGCATTGTGCTAAGCATTTCACAAATGTCACGTGATCCTCACAACCCTGGAGGGTAGGTGCAGTTGTTATCCCCATTTTGCAGTTGAGGAAACTGAGGCAGAGGTATAAGTAACTTACCCAAGATCATGAAGCTGGGAAGGATATGAGGATGGATTTGAATTCTGTTCTTCCTGACTCCAGATCTAGCACTGTATCCACTGTGCCACCTAGCCACCTCCAATTGTTTGGGTCTCAATTTTCCTCATTTGCAAGATGAGAGCTTTAACTGAAATGATCAGGACCCCTCCATCGATATAGCCTCATAGGCCTAAATCTGGAAGGGACCATGGAGGTGATCTAGCTTAATCCTGTCACTTTACAAATGAGGAAGCTCATAGCCCAAACGGTGAAGTAACTATTGATCTGTCATCTGATAGTAATGAAGATCTGGAATTTGGGGTGGTGGACCTTCCCCCAGATACACAAAACACAAATTCTTCAAAGGGCAAATGGGCATACTGCCAAAAACCCCATCAATCCTGCGGTAGTGAAGGGAGACGAAGGGATTTCTTTTAGTGACGAAATTACTTGAATGGTATTGACAAAGGCCATCAATGCTTCTTTTCTATAGGACAAGAAAACTGCTTGTGAGTGGGGAGCTTCTAGCCGTTAAGCCGGTAATTTTTCAGAAAGGCAATCATATCACACTGCTATCAGTCACAGCCGAATAGCCTTTATCACGAGAGAGACAGAAGAAGAAAAAGCGCATTGGCTGGCTTCTGAAAAAAGAAAGTTTCCAGTGCAACTCATGGTATCGGTACCTTACTATATCAGCTACTTTAGCAAATACTCTGCAGTATTCCGATTTAGGAAGGAGAGAATCATTAAGAGAAAGTTAAGTCATATTTTGGATGGTGTTACTAAGGAAGGGAAGGGTACGTGTATTTTGGACCCATCAAATAGTGAAAATGGAAAAAAAGCCAACGCTTCATTTAACTAGAAAAGTCCCTTATTCAAAACAGTTTATTCCTTGATGTGGTAAAAGATCGGTCACCCTGTCGAGAATAGGGGCACCACCTCTGTGTCTGCAGCTGCAGGGAGTCTGCCTCCCTCTCCCTCCCTCTATAGCCAGGCCGCGGCTCCCATGTCACTCGCTGTTTGGTTCTTTAGTGCTGGGGAGGCTGTTAGCCTGCAAGGTGAGGGGAGTAAAGTCTGAGAGGTTGGGGGAGGGGAACGGGGGCTAACAACAGCAGAAGCTATTCCTGAATTCCAACTGCTATAGGTTTAGCTTCCTGACTTGGTAACACAGAAGAAGTAGCATTTTTCTAATATTTGAACTTTAAAACAGGCCCCTTTAATGCTCAGTAGAGTTGGTTTTAGTTTGTTTTCATAGTCTTTAACTGCTTACTTTAAAGGGAGAATGTAAACAACTGGACTAACCTAATAGAGGCTTGGCCCACGGTAATTAAATACTAGCTAGACATGTAAGGTATTAACAATTTTTTTTTGTTTTTTGGTTAGGCAACTGGGGTAAGTGACTTGCCCAGGGTCACACAGTTAGTACGTGTCAAGTGTCTGGTCTGAGACAGGATTTGAACCCAGGTCCTCCTGACTTTAGGGCTGGTGCTCTATCCACTGCGCCACCTAGCTGCCCCCTATACTTTTTTTTTTTTTGATAGAACTGATGGATAAAGCTTGGCTGTTTTAACAAGGACCAGGCAAATGGAAAAGGAAACAAAGAAAAGCAAGGTGAAAGGGATAAGTGGCTCTTAACCTGGGATCTGCAAACTTTATTATTATATTGGTAACTGTATTTCAACATTAACTGGCTTCCTTTGTAATCCTATGTATTTTACCTTGTGCATTTAAATACATTCTTCTGGGAAGGAAGGGGTCCCTAGACTTTACCAGCTTGCCAAATGGGGCCATAACACAAAGAAAGTTAAGAACCCCTGAGACAGAGTAAGAAATAGCAAAAGTGGGTAAAAAAGTCAAAATAAACATTAAGTTTGGGAGCTACTTTTCAAATCCTGTTTCCTTTGATCCTTAACAACCCTGGGAAATGGGTGCTATTATTATCCCCATTCCAGAGGTGAGGAAGGAAACCAAGGCAGACAGGTTGACTTGCTCAGGTTCAAAAGGCTAGTTGGAGATTTAAGGCAGGATTCAAACTCGGGCCTCTGTGACATCAAGTCTATTGGGCCACCTTACTGCCTCAGTTCCAAACGGGATACCTTCACTGTGGTTCTTCTTGTTGTTTGTCTTTCATTTTCAAAGAGGACCAATGACATTACAGGTGACATCCTGACTCGCGTGGGAACTGGATCTGAGTGAGGCAGAGCCACACAGAAGTCAGTCTCACTCTCTCTTACACAGTCATTGTAGTCCAGTGGCAAAAACCATGGCTGAACTGTGGAATGCAGCCTACTGAAAGAATTGGAGACTAATTTCAAAAGGGCAAAAGATTCGTATAAGAAATAGAGGCCTGACATTTTTTTGCAATTTTTTAGAAAAACAAAATGCCCCAGCTTCCCTGCATGCACCCAAAAAAAACCTATTATTCAAACAAAATAGAGATATAAGTAAAGAATATTCTAACTCCACAGATTGGAGAGATTGAACATTTCAAAGCACTTAACCCTTAAGTAAATGGGAAAATGGAAACTGATTTAATTTGGCCCCAGTAATAAGACCAGTGGTAACACTAACTTTTCTTGGTGATCAATTCTATTTATATCATATAAAAACTGGACAACACAATCACCCAAAACAAGAAATCCTGATGCCCCATAGACATAACAAGTGGCAACATCATTATATTATAATTAAGCCAGTAAATCAAACAGTGACCTTTTGGATACCTCCATCTTCCAGTTTCATAACATACTGGATCCACTGGAGCCAGCTGAGGAGTAGGGGTCCTGACCAAGGCAGATTTTTTAGGTACCTAGTTTGGTGCAAAATATACACATTTCCTCAAAGCCAATCTACCTAGAATCCTTGGTAAACAAATCAACCCAGTCCAAGTTCTTAGGGGCCCTGAGGCCTCTTAAAGTCAGTTTCAGGACTTGGGGAGTGATTCTGCATGAATGCAGATACCTCCATTGCTTCTGGGTACAACGCAGAACTCCCACCACTCAGCGGTGCACTATGGAGCCCCATCTAGCAGACATAATTATGAGCTGCTTCCTTTCTTAATAAACTAATGCAGTTTCACATGTATATGTACAACTAAACTCCCAATGAAGAAAAAATATCATCGATGTCATCCACGTCTCCGACAGTTTCTGATGTAGTGCTACTTTCCTTTACTTGAGCCAATGTGGGTGACTTCACTGCACCACTGCAATTTTCAATATGATTTGCATTTCTGTTGTCCAACAGCTGGCTCTTTTTTGATGCCAGTTCAGGTCTATGAATTGTAAGGTCTGAGAATGTGCTTTTGGCATCTCCCTCTGTGACAACCTTCTCAGTCTGATGAAGAAACTGTTGAATTTCCTTCAGAACAGTGGGCTGCAACTTTCTCTGTGGTTTCCTCTGCTGCTTTATAAATTTATTCTGTGAAGTGATTCGTCTCAGATGGCACTTTGAAGACATGTTACCCAAGCCAAGGAGAAGGAAGTTACAGACGGACGTTTTTATGCAGTTCAATTTCTTGGGCAAGCTTTTAAAAGAGAAAGGAAAAAATTTAAAAACCTATTAGTTAGAGAAAAATCTATCAGAATCACTCATTTTCTCTTTTCCCTCTTCTTTCCATCTCTGTCAACAAAATATAAAAATACACAATTCAATTTAACAAACACTAAGTGCCTAGTCTGTGCAAAGCACTGTATGAGATAAAAGGGAGATGAAGATAAAAATGAGAGTCCCTCCTTGAGGTATAGTCTTGTTTTGCTGAACTTTTTTTTTCTCCCTTTCTCCTTCCTTACAAGGGATGGCTCTGGGTAGAGGAGGAAGATGGGAAATGAATATGATATAAAAACAAAAAGAAACAACTTAATTCAGAAGAACATAAGCTCCTTGAGCTTAGGGACTATATAATTTCTTTTTTTTTTTTTTTGCTTTTAGGCAATTGGGGTTAAGTGACTTGCCCCGGGTCACACAGCTAGGAAATGTCAAGTGTTCAGTCTGAGGCCGCATTTGAACTCAGGTCCTCCTGACTTCAGGGCCGGTGCTTTATCTACTGTGCCACCTCGCTGCCCCGGGGCCTATATAATTTCTTATCTTAATATACTTAGCACTTAGGACAACGTAGGTACTTCTTTGTTTGGTTGGGGGGTTTTGGGAGGCAATCAGGGTTAAGTGATTTGCCCAGGGTCACAAAGCTAGTAAGTGTCTGAGGCAGGATTTGAACTCGGGTCCTCCAGACTCCAGGGCCAGTTTTCTAGCTACTGTGCCACTTAGCTGTCCCATAGCTGCTCAGATGTGGGCACTTTTAATAAAGGTTTGCTGATCTGAATGAGTTACGATCTGATCTCTAGATTTCTGTTTTCAAACCATTACTTCCATATCACAATCATTATTTTTTCTGGATGAGGATAGCATTTTCCATCAAGAGTCTTCTGGAGCTGTCTTAGAGCCTTGCATTGTTGAGAAGAGCTAAGTCTATTAAAGTCAGTCATCACACAATGTGGCTGTTAGTGTATAATGTTCTCCTGGTTCGGCTCATTTCACTCTGCATCAGTCCTGTATTTCCAGGTTTTACCTAGAAGTGGTAGCACTGAGTCAAAGGGTATGCACACTTCTAGGGTTGTATCCCAAAGACATCATACAAATGGGAAAAGGACCCACATGTACAAAAATATTTATAGCAGCTCTTTTTGTTGGTGGCAAAAAGGTGGAAATTGAGGGGATCCCCATCAGTTGGGGAATGGCTGAACAAGTTGTGGTATATGTGGTATATGAATGTAACAGAATACTACTGTGCTGTAAGAAATGATGAGCAGGCAGCATAAAAACCTGGAAAGACTTGTATGGTCTGATGTGGAGTGAAGTGAGCAGAACCAGGAGAACACTGTACACAGTTAACAGCCACATTGTGTGATGACTGACTTTGACAGACTTCGCTCTTCTCAGCAATGCAAATCTCCAAAGGTCTCATGATAGAAAATGCTATCCACATCCAAAGAAAGAACTATGGAGTTTGAATGCAGATCAAAGAATACTATTTGCTATTTTTTTTCTTTTTTGTTTTCTCTTTTTTGTGGTTCCTCCTATTGGTTCTAATTCTTCCTTACAACATGACAAATGTGAAAATATGTTTAATAGGAATGTATATGTATGGCCTATATCACATTGCAAGCCATCTTAGGAAGAGGTGGGGAGGGAGGGGTAGAAAAATTTAAAACTCAAAAGCCTATGGAAGTGATTGTTGATAAATCAAAATAAATTAATAAAAAAAAGAATTAAAATAATGAAATAAAATTTTAAAAAAGGGTATGCACAGTTTTATAGCCGTTTGGCCGTAGCTCCAAACTGCTCTCCAGAACGGCTGGATCAGTTCACAACTCCACCAACAATGCATTAGTGTTCCAATTTTCCCACATCTCCAACATTTATCATTTTCCTGTTTTGTCATGTTAGCCAATCTAATAGGTGTGATGGGGTACCTCAGAGTCATTTTGATTTGCATTTCTCTAATCAACTGTGATTCACAGCACTTTTTTCATATGACTATAGATAGCTCTAATTTCTTCCTCTGAAAACTGCCTATTCATATCCTTTGACCATTTACAATTGGGGAATGACTTGTATTCTTATAAATTCAACTCAGCTCTCTATATTTTAGAAATGAGGCCCTTATCAAAGACACTGGCTGTAAAAATTGTTTCCAGCTTTCTGCTTCCCTTCTAATCTTGGTTTCATTGGCTTTATTCGTGAAAAAACTTTTCAATTTAATGTAATCAAAATCATCCATTTTGCACTTCATAATTTTCTCTGTCTCTTGTTTGGTCATAAATTCTTCCCTTTTCCACAGATCTGACAGGTAAGCTATTCCTTGCTCTCCTACTTTGCTTAATAGTATCAGCCTTTATATCTAAATCATGTATCCATTTTGATTTTATCTTGGTATAGGGTGTGAGATGTTGGTCTATGCCCAAGTTTCTGCCATACTATTTTCCAGTTTTCCCAGCAGTTTCTGTTAAATACTGAGTTCTTATACCAAATATAAATATTTTAAACATGTTGGTCTTTTACCTCTGTTTTTTATCTCTTTCACATATGTACTTAGAGTATGTGTAGTTCCAAATTGTTTTCCAAAATGACTGAACTAGTTCACAGATCCACCAACAGAAATGCGGAAAGGGACATAAGTAAATTGTTATTACCCTGCTAAATTTATTACAGACTTCTTAAAATGCCAATAATCTCTAGCAGGGATCCACAAACCATGGTGAGCTAAGAATGGTTTTTACATTTTGAAATACAATGTATTTAAATGTATTAGTTCTTAGCTCTGAGCTAGACAAAAAGGGCAGAGGTCTCTTTCAAACTTTTCTTCATAAACTGAAAGTTTAAAATTGAAAAAAGAATGCCTCTCCACAATGCAGGTCTTCTGTTCCTAAAGGGACATAGTGGGGATTCAATAGAGAAAAAAGGGGTATGAAGTGGAAAGAGGGAGACCTGACTCTTTGTCAGAGGATCAGAGAGTAGGAAAGTGTTACACAAAGACAAATACAAGTAAACAGTTTAAAAACAGGTACAGGGCTCCTCCTGAAAAGGAAGAAGCTAGAAGATGTTTCTGGTCTTCCAAAACCAGAGCCACAGAAGTTTTCTGGTGACGTATTCCCCAATAAGGGTCAGAGGAAGAATTCAATTGTAGTAGGTGATGATTCCCAGCTACCTTGAATATACTAAGGCAGCTGTCTATCAACCTGATGTAACATCAGAGAGTCCTGCTGTTGTCCTGGGGAATGAAGGATGTATGATACAACAGAGAACCTCTCAAACTTACCAAAGTGGATTATGATTCTGGTGATTCACATGGGTAATAATAATAATAACTAACATTTATATAAAGCTTACTATGTGCAAGGCACTGTGCTAAGCACTTTACAATTATTATCTAATTTGATCTTCACAAAAACCTTAAGAGGTAGGTGCTATTGTTATCCCCATTTTACAATTTTTTACATTTGACTAATGTGAAAACATCTTTAATAGCAACGTATATGTATAAGGAAACTAAGGCAAACAGGAGTTAAGTGACTTGCCCATGGTCATACAGCTAGTAAGTGTCTAGAATGGATGTGAACTTAGGTTTTACTGATTCCAGACCCAGCACCTCTATCCACTGTTCGAGAGCAGAATGGATTTAAGGGACCTCTAAGCAATGGAAAAACAAAAATCATCAATAAAAATCCATTAAAGATGAGAGTGAAAAGTGAAGTAAGAAGTAGCAAAACGCACAGAAAAAGCAAAAAGCATTCACTGCTTGAACCCAAAAAGCACAGCACATTAAATATGACCTACCTGCAACCTTGAGCTTCCACATGTTTAAGCCGGTTACTTTTTAGAAGTTTGTTACCCAAAAAGGTGGCTTTATGCTTCAGTTTTTTTCGTCTACACCAGAAAATGGCTGTTTGGATTTCTTCTGAAAGTTGTGTAAAAGACTGTGCCTCTCGGATCCTCAGTACAAGGTTTCTGGCATGAGAGGATCCCACCAGCGGCTGGGATGAGCTGATGGCTTTTCGTACTCTCCTTTCAGAACACACAAGCTTGAAGTTGGTGTCCTGGAGGGTGGACAGGCAAGAATAAGAAAGGCAAATGTCATGGGAAGTGAGCAGCCTTCAAAGGCAGTCAATAAAGCACAAACTCTCTAAGAGAAGGGTCATTGGCCACACTGGGATTGCCAGAGTCAGGTGATTATGATGGAGTACTATTGTACTATAAAAAAAGGTGAAGGGGGTGGTTATTGATGAATATAATGATACAAGACAATTCTTAAGGACTCATGATGAAAAAATGCTACCTATCTCCAGAGAGAATTTATGAATTCTGAATGCAAAATGAAGTAAATTTTGTTTTCTTCATTTTTTTTTTTGCTTTTCTTTTTTTCCCCCCAATATGGCTAATATGGAAATATGTTTTGCATGATTTCACATGCATCATTTATATCATATTGTATGCCTTCTCAGTGGGTATGAGAGGGGTAGGAGGGAGGGAAAGAATCTGGAACACAAAATTTAAAAAGAATGCTAAAAATAAATAAATGATAAAAAGGAAAAAAGAAAAACTATTATATTTATCTTTATATGTAAGTTTTTAAAATTTATCTTTAATATTCTTTTTTTTTAAATTTTGAGTTGCTTCCTTGAGCTCTCCCTCTTCCTTTCCCCTCCCCAGCCCTTGAGAAGGCAAGCAATATGACATCAATTATACGTGTGAAGTGACACAAAACATATTTCCATATTAGATATAATATTGTATTTATATTTAAATGTATTTAAAGTGCTCCTTTTAAGTGAATTAATGATTAAATGATATATTCCCCAAAATAATTAAATTAAATTCCAACTTTTTTCATAATTTCAAATTTACAGTTAAACACTGTTAGTAATATATAATAAATTTTAAAACACACAAACCACGGTAGCTTTGTGCTTTGGTTGTTTGCAAAAGGCCTTCAGGTCAAATCCTGATGATGTTTCTGTGGAATTAGAAAAATCACACAGGCTGATTTAGTATAGCACAAACTCTTTTCCAAATAAACACTAACCTCACAATCTAATTCACTCTCAAAGTCTCTTTCCTGCCAAACTATTAAAAGTAACTATGAAGGAATCACTTGACCATTAATTAGATGATTAACAAAACCTAAAAGAAAGTGCCAAAATAAAAATCTAAATGCCCAAGTTCAGAAATTTACCTGTTACCCTAAACAAGCAAAAAGATAACTATGCCTCATTAGGGATACCTGTCTTGTACTCTGAGTAACAACTCTAGAATTACAATGAATGTAGACACTAAAATCTGTCCCAGGTAATACATTTTTTTTTTTAGGTAATTGGGGTCAAGTAACTTGCCTAAGGGTCACACAGCTAGGCCTGATTTGAACTCAGGTCCTCTTGACTCCAGGACTCTATCCACTGCTCCACCTACCTGCTCCTAGGTAATACAAATTTATAGCCAGAACAAATGCCTAGGTTAGACAAAGACAGGAGCAAAACCAAACAAAAATGAGTTACCTCTGTGGCTTTTCCTCTTCTGCACTGCCTTCCCAATATCCACATTATCCTTCACCTTTATCTTCATTTGTTTAACTTTTTCTAAGGCTATTTCTTCAATAGGTTTGTTCAATTTCTCTTTGGCTAGAAATAGTCTGTTTAGCAATTTTGTCACTCCTTTAGCTTCCATCTTTTTCTTAATGACATCAAGATAGGCCTCTCCTAAAAATTCTTTAAGCTCAGCAGGAAAGGTAAAATTTTTGAAGTAAGGCATTGGTTGAATCCTGGATACCTCTTGCAGCAATTTAAACAAAGGATTATATAAAGAGACAAGTTTTTTAAAAGCATCTTTATACAAGACCCTAGGAGGGAAAAAAAGAAATTCATGAGTTAGCTAGAATATTATAAAGTTGTTAAGATAATGCAAGATTATATCATTAAGCTACTATATATATATGTATGTATGTATGTATAGGTATATGTACACACACACACACACACACGCACACACAATTCCTATACAATCTTAAGTCTGCAAAACACCATCCTTTAAATTATTATTGCCACTTCATCTAAATTATATAAAAAAATAGATTTCTTTTCTTCTCTAACACACTCCATAGCTTTATACCAATTAGAAAAAAAATTGCTTCAAAAGGGATTTGAAGTGCACAGAAACACTCTCAAGCACATAGGATTTAATGAATTTGCTAAACATCCATTATCTACTCAAAAATATGGAAGCTATTAGGGGAAAAAATGTAAATATACAAGAAAAAGTATAATTTAAAATAGGGAATGTGTTAACTTCCATAATAATTCTCTCTAATCCAAGACCCAATTAGAGGCCATGTTGTTTGAACTAAACAGGTAACTCTTCTATGGATGACCTCTGTGCCTCAAATTCAAAGATTTTCTTTTGAATTATACATTAATAATCAACTCATTATTATTCAACTGTGGCCAAAAGAATAAATCAAATGAAGAAGGAAACATATGACCAGCCTTCTCCTGTACTATCATTTTGTGATGAGGGTTAAAAACCCAAAACTCGCTGAACCACCCTATCTCTCAATAATAAAGACTGCCAATAATCTGCCCGGCAGAATGGGAGAGGAAATTCAAACAATGAAATCAGATATTCAGATATTTCAAAAGAATGTACATACCATACTCTGCTCACCAATCCTATAATAACAGTGTTTAAAATGATGAATTCTTCCAAACAAAGATGCTTCACAGTTAAGCTAAAGGCCAAATGCTGAATTAAGGTAAAAAAAAAAAAAGACAAAAACGATTGCTTGTAACCTACATCAGAGGCGTCAAACTCACAAACCTAGCCCTCAAAACTTCCTAGTCCAGTGGAACCAGATGAAAATGTAATTGGGAAATGTTTAACGAAATAAATACAAATACAATACAACACAGATAATATTAACTTGTGGTTTTCTAAGTCACTATGTGGCCCAAAGGGAACCACTTCTATTTGAATTTGACACCACTGCTTTATATATGTTAGAGAAAAATACTGCTGGCAAAGGAAATTTGTCTCATATTTACTAACATTTAAATTCATTTCACATAAAGGTGCCCAAAACTTATTGATGCATTTACCATCATGCTAACGCTATTACAACACCTGCCTCTCACAAACATTGGCAGACTAACTGAAGAATAAAAATGTCTTTGGCAACAAAACAACAAACAGATCTTAGGAGAAGGAGGCAAAAAGCTCTGTAGTCTCCCTAGAACTCTACACTATATAGAAAAACACTATTAAATATACTGAAACAATTTCCTACTAAAATGGAAATGTTAAAACTAAATGAAGGATACAGAAATGTCTTGCAGCAACAGTCTAATAAACGTAGTATTAATTTGCAGGTTCCCAAAATCTTCATTAACACAAACTCCAAAACTGGCTGGCTGGGAATGATGTACTTTTTTGCATTTTCAAGTTTATCTTCTCTAGTTGTCAGAAACAGAAAGACTGAATTATTAGAATGAGCCACGAGTGTAAATGTACTTACTTGTCACATACTTGGGTACTAGGCACTGACAAGAAAGTATTATCTACCTAACATTTTCAAGCGGACAGTTATTTTAAGATCATTTTTAAACAGCTACGCTCATCAGTCATCACAATGGACTCTCAATATAATTATAGATTTCATTGTAATGCCAGTGTAGTCTTGCCCTTAACTAATGGTCTGAGCACCAGAAGCGTGCTTTGTTATCATAGACCCCGCTGCATTTTGTCTTTATAAAAACTAATAGTGAAAAGTTTTGCTGCAATAACCAATGACACGTGACAGAATGTGAACAAGAGTAATAGAAGACCTGGAAGGAATCCTGTGATCCAATTACCTTGTTTCATGGATGAAGAAACAAAATCTCAGAAGCTAAGTGATTTGTCCAAGGCCCCACTGCTAGTTAGTGGCCAGGCCAGTTTTAGAACACATTTCTTCTAATCCCAATATAGTGTTTTGCTGTACAATGAATTCATTAAGTCTAAATAGTCATTACATCTTCAGAATTCATTAAGGTTAAGCAGCTTTACTATTAGCCATGGGTGTTTCTTTCTTAATAAAGCAAAATCATAAAACGTCAGATACTAAAGCAAAAAACTTTAGACCTCTAGTCTATAAAGTCTTGAAATAACCACCCTGTGACACTTACTTAGGACATAGCTCAAAGAGATCTTGAATGGACCCCTCCATATTCACACAATTCATTCGCTTGAGACACTGTTCTACCTGAAACAACGAAGATTAGCATTTACAATAGGCAAGTAAGATTGCTGATCTCAAACAAGCCAAATTGGACAAATGAATGCATGTAAGTGTCCCCAGCATTGAAACACACAGCAAACTGCGGAGGGAGAATGTACTGTGTTTTCTGAGTTACAGAAAGCAAAGGCAAAGAATAAAATACATGTTATTAAAACCAAAGTATTTGTAGGAACAATCTATCAATTTCCCTAGCCAAACATATTCATCAATTATTTCCTGAGTACCTTCTATAAGAATGACATTATATAAACAGGTGCTATGGACGACATGGAAGGTACATGAGACTTCCCTCCAGTTTGTATTCCGACTTTTATACAGATGAAACAAATTAAAAAATAGGACAGCATATACAAATTAAAAAACAGGACAGCATATAATTGAGTGCAATATTATAGAGTATGAAACAATTAAGTATGACAGAGGGTCAAAGGAGAGATCAGTTCTTCATCTATTAATTCTTTGTTAAGATTTTCCATCTTAGGAAATGTAATTTTTTACATTAAAGTGCTCTAAATTTGTGAAACATTAAGTAGACACATGTCACAAAAGGACCACCAATGCAATGCCACACGAGTGGCACAAAACGTGACAGGGATACCCAGAGACACTGCCAGAGTGGAGACGGGGCAAGGGTTAGGCTCCAAGGACAGGTAAGAACTAAACGTTTTCATCTAGCAATTACATAAAAAATATACTTTTTTCCTGCTTAAGCAATAGATGTACTCCCAAAAAGGCCAATCAAATCAATTCCCATTTTCTCTTTGCCTTATCTTCTAACTTCAGAAGGGTTCCCAAGCTCAATCTTTGATCCTCAGCTGTTCTTTCTCTCGCTATCCCCCTCAAACAAGGAGGGAGCTGCTGCCATGCTGGAGAGAAGGCTGGTACTGAAGTCACAAAGATCTGAGTTCAAATTTAACCTCAGATCCTCACTAACTGTGTCCACCTAGTTAAGCTGTATAACTGCTGTCTGCCTCTGTTTTCTCAACTGTAAAATGGAGATAAGAACAGCACCTACCTCACAGGGTTGCTATGAGGCTCAAATGAGAAGGTTTTTAAAAGAAGTGCTTAGCACACTGTCTAATAATAAATAGCAAGCACTTAAAAGAATTTTCCCTCCCTCCTTATTCACACATTCTCATAGCTTTATCACCTCTACGCTAATAACATTTATATATTTAATCTACACATACAGAAATATTTATAGCAGTTCTTTTTTGTGGTGGTAAAGAACTGGAAATTGAGGCGATGCCCATCAGTTAGGGAATGGCTGAACAAGTTCCAAGACACTTTCAGAAAAACCTGGAAAGACTTACTTAAACTGATGAAGAGTGAAGTGAGTAGAACCAGGAGAACACTGTACACAGTAACAGCTGTATTGTATGAGGATCAACTATGAATGACTTAGCTATTCTCAGTAATACAATGATCTAAAACAATCCCAAAGGACTCATGATAAAAAAAAAATACTATCTACCTCCAGAGAAAGAACTGATAAAATCTGAATACAGATTGATGCATACTTTTTTAACTTTCTTTATTATCTTTGGTTTTTTCATCTGCATTTTCTTTTGAAATATGGAAATGTTTTACATAACTGCATTTGTATAATCTATATCAAATTGCTTGACTTCTCAGGGAAGGGTCAAGAGAGGGAGGGAGGAAGAGGATTTGGAACTGAAAATTTTTTTTTTAAATGTTAAAATTTCTGTTTACATATAATTTAGAAAAAAATCAAATAAAAATTAAATGTTAAAAGAAATGGCCTTTGAAGTTATCACATCAAATATTTTTTTAAAAAAAATCAATAAACAATAAGGGCATCACCTATTTTTTCTACTTTTCAGTCCCCTAACTGACCATAAAGCTGTGATCTGTTGTAGAATATAATCTTCTGATTTTATGTTTCTATCAGTGATACTCTAGATGTCTACACTGTCAATTCTTACAAAGACTTTACATAGATGAGAAATAGGCCTATGGGTTAATAGTTGCTAAAGAGTTAACTAAGAGATGACTTATCAGGAAGGAGAACAAACAGAAGGATGCTTGACATCTCTGACAAGTAAATCTGCTAGTATCTAAAAAGACAATGCTCCCTTCTGACCTGTTTGAGAGCCAAATACGGCTTGTGGCGACCCAGCTTGTTGTGATTACTGTAAAGGATTGCATGTAAGACACCCGTTTCTGTATCCAAACCTTTTCTCAGCAAGGACATTCTGACACTGTGGCACTCCTTAGTCAGGGCTTTAATGTATGAACCTGAAAAGAGAGAAATCAAGCCTTACTGTACAAGCAGGTCTATAGCCACTGTATGCTTGCATATAGGCTGAAAGGTATCCCTTTCATTCATACATCACATATTGTTGAGGGATATGAAAATACCTTCAGGGAGCTTATCATCTATTTGTGAAGTAATCTATAGTAAGAAGTCACCCGAATGAAACTTTATTAAAAACTAGATTGGATGTACTGAATAGATGGCCTATTATGTATTTGTAACAATTGTGGGTTCTTGAGTCAAAGGCAGAATCACCTCTATAGTACTGGAGTATTTGCTTAGTAAATAGATAATAAGCTCACTTAAGGTATTTTCCATATCAATCAACAAGCATTTATTAAGTGCCAAGTACTGGGAATACAAAAACAGAAATGAAACATTAAATGCCCTCAACGAGTTTATATCCTACAAGGAAACTCAATCAAGCAGCATCTACGAAGTGCCAGGTAGCGAGGATGCAGGGAACAAAGAATGGAATGATCTCTATACCCAACAAGCTTACATTTTAATAAGGAAGACAACACGCACATATGTACATATACAACATAAAGTTCACACATATATTCTTTGTTGCTGTTCATTTGTTTCAGTTGCGACCAGCTCTGTGATCCCATTTGGGGTTTTCTCAGCAAAGATACTGGAGTGGTTTGCCATTTCCTTCCCCAACTCATTTCACAGACAAGGAACTGAGGGAAAAAGTCTTAAGTGAAGATTAAGTGTCTGAGGCAGCATTTAAACTCAGGTCTTCCTGACTCCAGGGCCGTGCTGTATCCACTGCGCCACCTAGTGGCTCTGTGTGTGTGTGTGTGTGTGTGTGTGTGTGTGTGTGTGTGTGTGTGTGTGTGTGTATAACATGTGCAAATAAATACATGCATGTAAATATATACACATAAAAAAGAGGGATCTGTTGAGGAGAAAAGGAAGGAGTGCATTCCAGGCAAAGGGGATGGTCACTGCAGAGGTATAGAGATGAGAGATATGTGTTAGGAACAGAGAGAAGGGCAGTCTGGCTTGGGTTCCAGAAATCAGAAGAGGGAGTCATGTCCAAACAGGGGGGGCAAGATAGGTTGGATTAGGCTCTAAAAGTTTATAATAGATCTTAGAGGCAAGAGAAAGCCAAGTTGAGTAGGGGAGTTGCATGATCAGATTTATGCTTAAGGAAAATCATTTTGGCAGCAGTGGCCTAGTGGTGAGAGACTCAAGGCAGGAAGACCAATTAAGAAAGAGCCTGTTCCAACAATCTACATGAGAGGGGATGAGGACCTGCAGTAAGGTTACATCGCTTCATGAGTGGAGTGGAATAATCAGATGCGAGCAACGTTTTGAAGACCGAAAACAGCTAGATTGGGCAACTGATTAATTATGTGAGATGAGGGAGACTCAGGATTCGAAGATAACGTCAAGAGTAAGAACTCAAGACACTAGAAAGAGAGAGGTCTGGAAAAAGGATAGGGTTTTGGGGAGGGGGGGGAGACTGTGAGTTCAGTTTTAGACAGGTAAGAGTTTAAGATGTCTCCAGTATATCCAGTCTGAAAGATCCAATACTATTGGTGCTATAGGACTGAAGTTCAGGAAGAGACTGGGGGATATATAAATCTGGGAGACATCTGCATAATGACAGTTAAACCCAATGGAGCTGATAAGGTTACCAAGAGAGAGAACAGAGGGAGAAGAGGGTTCAGGAGAGAGAGCATGAAATGGATGACAATCCCCTCCCTTAGCAAGGGAGATCCATCAGGAGAAGCAGTATCAAGAAAACCCAGAGGGAAGGGGTATTCCAGAAGGGTACAAGGCAGTCAACGTTGTCAAATGCAGTAGACAGGTCAGGTTTGAGAAAAGTCCTTCCTGTTTGTTAATTAAGAGATCACTGGTACTTTGAAGAGAGCAGTTTAATTAGGTTGAAAGCTACACTGCAAAGGGTTGAGGAAAGAACACGAGGCAAGGAAGTAGACGCAGCTACTCTGAAGGACTTTGGCTGAGAAAGGGAGGAAAGCTATGGGATGACAGCTTGAGGGGATGGCATTTTGTAAGTGAAGGATCAGTGAAGGATTTTTCAAGGGTGATGGAGACTTGGGTATGTTTGAAGGGAATGGAAAAGGAACCAACTGCTAGAGAGAGGTTGAAATTTTAAGAGATAAGTGGGATAAAGGAGGATGCAATCTGCTAGAGAAGACAGGATAGGATGGGACTAAAGTGTTTGCCAAGGTGTTAGCCTTGGCAAAGAGAAAATGAGGGCCACCTCGTTGTCAGAGACTGGGGGAAAGGAGGAGGAATGGGAGATGATGTGAAGGGGTTTTGAGATGAAGAGAGTGGAAGAGGAGAGACCACTGCCAACATAAGTATATCTTGTGGGGAAGGCACTAGCAACAGGCAGAAAAGGCTTCATGTAGGAGATGGTGGGCTGGGCTTTGGAGTGAGCTAAGGTTTCTAAGAGGCAAAAGTGAAGAAGGTCTGCATTCCAGATATGGGTAACAGTTTATGAAAAATATGGGGATAGAATATTATTCATAAGGAACAGGAAGGCCAGTGTGACAGGCCCATGTAGTATGGAAAGAAAGTAATGTGTAAGAAGGCTGGAAATGTAGGTTAGAATCAAGTTGTGATAGGCTCTAGTTGCAAAACAGAGGAGTTTGTATTTTATCCTAGAGGCAAGAGGGAGGCACTGAAGATTATCAAGCAGGAGAGTAAAGATTGCCAGACCTGCGTTTTAAGAATATCACTTTGGCAAACATGTGGAGGATGGATTAGAGGGGGAAGAAAACTGAAGGAAACTAGTAAGCAGACTACTGCAAGAGTCCAGGGGAGAGGTGATTGAACTAAGGTGGTGATCCTATGAACAATGGAAAACAGACATGAGGGACTTTGTGGAGATATAATCAACAAGTATTGGCAACATGTGGAATGAGTAAGAATGAGAGCAGTCCGGGATGACACTAAGGTTGTGAACCTGGGTAACTAGGAAAACAGTGATATCCTCAATAAAAATAGGGAAGTCTGGAAAAGGGACAGTTTGAGGGGTGGTGGTGGTAAAAATAATGAGTTCTGTTTTAGACATACTGAGTTTGGGATTCCCATGGGGCATCCAATTCAAAACGTCCAACAGGCAGTTAGTAACATGAGGCTTTATATATAGGCCTGGAAGTCATCTGAAATGACATGATAATTGAACCCATGGAAGCTGATTAGGTAATAGAGATGATAGAGATGGAATAAAAACAGATCCAGGACAGAACCTTAGCCTACAATGACAGCAAGCATGTGGGATAGAATGCTGAATCAGCAAAGCAGACTGAGACCATCCAACCTAATAAAGTGTGTTAGAGAGTCAGCAAGAAGTCGAGAGATCTGGGTAATAATTGATCCAGCTCTACCATATACTAGCTGTAACACTGAGCAAGTCACTTTACCTCAGTTTCCTCACTTGTAAAAAAGGCATACACTAGCTGCACTGCCTTATTCATACTTATTGTGGAGAAAGTACTTTGTAAACCTTAAAGCACTATATAAAATGTAAAATTAACATTTTTACTTGATACAGTTATGGTCTTATTAATGTGGATACTATCTCTACTGGCATAGATCCTAACAAATCCATGCCTTATCTTGTGTGATTTTTGTCCATGCCCATTCAAAAATCTTTCATAGCGGGACTGTCCAAGGCAATGGAGTTCTCCCTTTTAAGTTTTAATAGCTCACACAGACCAATGCACATTCAGGCTGTTACCCTAACCACTTGCTACATGACTGACCAACCTTCTCCTTCTTCTCTTATTAATGTCTTTGATATGTCTTAAGATACTTATTATACACAAGTTATCATTAACAGTTATGTTGAAACTTGGTTATATATAATACATAATATATAACATATATTGTTCAGTTGTTTTCAGTCATGTCCAACTGGCAAAAATACTGGAGTGGCTTGGCATTTCCTTCTTAGCTCATTTGACAAAGAAAACTAAGGCTTACAGGGTTAAGTAACCTGTCCAGGGTCACACAACTAGTAAGTGACTGAGGTCATATTTGAACTCAAGAAGATGAGTGTTCCTGACTCTAGGACCAGCACTCTATGCACTATGCCTCATAGCTATCCATATATATATATATATATATATATATATATCAATCATATGTTGCAAGACCTTGTTTCCACAGTTCTCGTGGTCATCAGAAATTCTGAAAAGAGGCAGCTAGGTGGCCCAACGGATGGCGCTGGACTTGGAGTCAGGAAGATCTGAGCTGAAATAGATCCACAAACTTAATAGCTGTGTGACCCTGGGTAAGTCATTTAACCTCACTCATCTTCCTCTGCCTACTTCCCAGGGTCGTGAGGATCAAATGAGATAATATTTACAAACTGTTTTGCAAAGCTTAACGCACTAGAGGAAAGTTATTATTATTATTTCTTGCATTAAATCCATTGTTACTGTATTATCATTCCATGGAACATCTGCTGAAGAGTCGGTTCGGTCCAGAAAGGATCCTCATAAATCAACTAGTCCAAGCTCTTTTTTCTTTTAATAAATGAGGAAACTACGTCCCAGGATAGTAAACCGACTCGACCAAGGCCGCAATGGTTGTAAGAGTTAGAGGAAGGATTTGAACTCGGGTACTTTGACTCCAGAGGGAGCTCTCTTTCTACTGCACCGTATGACGCGGGGGTCACGCTTCTACAGGGGTCAAAGGTGAAGATAGCGTCGTCCGCATGGGGCGCATGTGCAGAAGGGGGGAGGTGAGACAAGTGAGCGGCCACGCCTCCCCTCTCTCCTCCTAGGAGACGGTTGGTCCTTCCAGGGACAGGGCTCCGCCTCCAGGGGAGGAGTTCCGGAAGTAAGGGAGTGTTTGTCCCCGGAACACGTGTCCTCATCCATGTCCCCAGGCCCAAAGCATTCCCAGCTGCCGGGGAAGGTCATGGTCTCCTCCTCGTCCAGCGCCCCTTACTCACCAATTACTCCATCTCTGTCTTCTACGACCACTGTGCTCAAACTCCCCGGGCTCGGGATGTGCACCCGGTTCCACGGCTCCCACTCCAGGCAAGGCGCCACTGAAGCCATCTTGGAAGAGAGAAGGAAGGAGGGGATGGGGGCGGAGCTAGGATGAGACCAAATCAAGCGGGGGAGGGAGAGGAGGATCCAAGCTTGAGGGCCAAGGAGAGACCAAATCCGGGAATGGGGGAGGCCACTTTACAAATGAAGAGGAAGCTAGTGCAAGGTCGGAGCTTAATTTTTTTTAAGCTCGGATCTGACCGTGTGGATCCCCAATTCAATCATCTCCAGTGGTCTCTACTCTAAAAACATAAACTGCTGTATTTAACTTTTAAAGCGGAATGCAACCTGATCCCATCCAATACACACATACACACACACACACACACACACACACACACACACAGACACACACGCACACACGTGCACATACACACACACAGTAGGTAGAACCATAGACCTTAACTTAGAAGACCTGAGTTCAAATCTCCCTCATAATAACATAATGTTCTGCATACAATGGGTTTATGGTGTTGTGTTACGTTGTGTTAAGGCAAGAGGTAAAAGACCCGGTGGAAGTAGAAATGAGAGGAAAGATCCAAGATATATTGTGGCAAATTGAATCTACAAGAGTTGTCAGATGAATGGATGAGGAAAGGGGAGTGAGTCAATCGGGGTCACACACAAGCCACTTATAATTTCTGTCTACCTTAATTTCTCCATCTGTAAAATGGGGATAATGATAGTCCCTACCAGAGCAGCTAGGTGGTATAGTGGATAGAGGTCCAGGCCTGGAGTCAGGAAGATCTGAGTTTAAATCCGGCCTAAGACACTTACTAGCTGTGTGACCCTGGGCAAGTCTCTTAACCCTGTTTGCCTAGGTTTCCTCCTCTATCAGATGAACTGGAAAAGAAAAGGGCAAACCATTCTAGTATCTTTACCAAGAAGACCCCAAATGGGGTCATAAAGAGTAAGACAGGACTGAACAGCAATAGTTCCTCCCCCCAAAAAGTATTATGAGGATCCATGGAGATTGCCTAAGTAATGTGTTTTATATGCCTAAAATGCTATATAATTGCTGCACTTTGTTCTCTTCATCCTCCCTGTCTTTGTATTGACCTTCTGCCATACCTGGAATATGCTCCCTCTCACATCACCCACATAAATTCCCTCTGTTTAGATTTTTGAGATATACCCTTTTCTGCAAATAGTTACTATCCCTTGCTAGAGGCAAGCTACTTAAGAGCAGAGACCATATCTCAGGTCAAGGTTGTATCTCCTTCAGCATTTAACATTTATGTTCTGGGTACTTAGTAAATGTTTGGTGGGTACCTAGTGAAAGTTTGTGATATTGTGTTACATTGTGTTGACATAGTTAAGGCAAGGAGGTGAAGAGCCATGGTCCCAAGTAGGATGGAAGTAGAAGAAGAGCAAAGATCCAAGATACGTTGGGGCCACTGATTCAACAAGGAGTTGACAGATGAGTGGAGGTCACCTGAGGCGAGGGATTTTTTCTGTGGCGTTTGGATTCAGTCACAAGGCCACACTTGAGGAGCTAGAGGGCCGCATCTGGCCTTGAGGCTGCAGGTTCCCCACCCCGGACCTAGGTTCTTGAAAATTATGCCAGTGGAGCATAAGCTTTGACTAGACCTACACATTTTGAGAAGCATCCAGTACTAGGTCCAAGGACCACTCTAGAGACTTGTTACCAGAAGACTGGCTACCATGCGATGAACATTTTTGATCATGGCAACTGATAAAGACCTTCATCTTGGTCATAGAAGGTTGCCAATCTGTTATTAGAATGAATGTCTGCACTTTTGAAATCAGGGTTTCTTGAATTACTCAACTGAATCACTTAAAGTACATAATACTTTAGGAATATGTTTATGATGCCTAGTATATATATCTTCACAGGTGGAAGAGTCTATAGGAAAAATAAAAATACTATATGGGGCCAGACTAGTGGCGTATATATCCAACTTAGTATTCTGTTATTGGCAATGAGACCAGAGATATTCTGAGGGAGAACATTGTTCAGTCATCTTTATAAGTTTAGAAAGTACAATTTGCTTTTCAAGGAAATGCCTTATTGTGAAAATGGAAGTAGTAGGAAAGGATGGAGAAGATGAGTAATAATAGATGAACAGCCTGGGATCCTCCCTTTTTTGGGAGCTTTAGAAGAGACAGCAAAGATGAATCTTTTCTGATTCAGTATAAAAACCTAAATGTATAATCCTGTTTTAATACTGACTTTTCTAATGTTTTAAAAATAACAAATACTTATATTTCTCAATGTTAACACCAAATACAAGCTTGGAAAGACTGTCATTGGTTATAACAATGGAAAGAGCTAATTTGTTAATTTCTTATAACTTCCTTTGGCATCTTAAAATCCTTCTTGCTTCTAAAAATTATCTTAGTATCAGGTCTTAATTAAAAATGTATGCTTCTACCTAGTGATTATGTATGTTTTTAAAGTTGGTTTCATTTTGTGTTTTTATTTATTTCATTATTGGCCATGATCAAAACTTTCCTCACCTTTAATGGTGCCTTGATGGAAAGTCATAGACAAGAATGGCATTAAATGAGATAGGACTGGAGGAGTTATGGCCTCATTCCATGCAGGGAGGACCTCAGATGGAATCAGAGAAACAATCGAGCACGCTAAAGTTGACCTTTTTGGTATCTTGTGAAAATTACTGATGTCAAGGGAGAGCCTCTCACCTACTCTGAAGGACTCAGAAAAAGCATTTTACCGGTAAGAAATATTAAGTTTTGAAAGGTTGGAGTAAGAATTGTTTTTCATTTTGATCAATCTATATTTAAAGATATATGTGTCTTTTTCAACTTGCAGACACAGAAAAAAATGTACCCATTTGTGAATTATTCCCTAGCTTGATTTTTCAGAAATGTTTGAAGAGTCTGTCTTATAATCATCTCAAGGAGAATGGAAAAACATTTGTACGAAGGTGTATTTCTAACAGCATAGAGATGACAGTAACCATGTATTTAAAGCAAAGAAAGTGTTAAGTTTTCAGTTTTCTGAGGAAAAAAAATTGGAGGAGGGTAATGAGACAAAGCACTTGGTTTAAAATCTCAGTTCTACAATTGACTACCTCTGTGAATTTCAGCAAGAGACTGCCCCTTTCTCGGCTGCGATTTTTTCATCTATAAAATAAAGAGTTGTATTGTGTGTTAGCAACAAATTCTACGAAGCCATTAGTGGAAAAACAACAACAACTTTTTGTTTGTTTGTTTTGGCAATCATAGTCAAGTGACTTGTCCAGGGTCACACAGCTGGTAAGTGTCAAGTGACTAAGGTCGGATTTGAACTCAGGTCCTCCTGACTCCAAGGCCAGAGCTCTATCCACTGCACCACCTAGCTGCCCCCCCCCAAAAAAAGAACCTTTTTATTAACGACCTTAGGCCAAGTGTCCCATGTGTGGGCACACCTTACAGAAGGGAGGGCAAGGCTTTTTATTCCTAGGCCTGAATTGCAGTTCCCTCCCATGTTTCCCCATTGGCTGGGTAATGCAGGATGTCCAGTCTATCCGGAGCTCCGAATTTCCCCACATGAGTCTCTGCCCTTAATTACATCTCCCACTCCCCACATTTCCTTGTCAGCAGGCTACAGCTGTCAGTACACCAGCAGCTACTCATCACCCTGATGAGTGACATGCAGAAGCAACATTCCCAACCACATTTCCTACACTATGATTTCTGAGTTTTCTTTCAGCTCCAATTTCATTGTTTCTTCAAAATGTCTTTAACAGATTCAGTATAAACTCTGTGAATCATCTTCTCCAATTCATGGTTCCTCTGATATAAACTATCAAGCACATCTACTAATAGTTCATAATTATATGGGACATTAAGGTTTGCAAAGCATTTTATAAGCATTATCTCATTTGATCCCAGCAACCCTGAGAGGTAGGTGCCATAATTATCCCTATTTTACTGATGAAGAACGTGAGACAGACAAAAGGTAAGATGCATGCCCAGCGTCACACAGCTAGCAAGTAGCTGAGGCTGGTTTTTGAGCTCAGGTCTTCCTGAACTCTGTCCACTGAGCCACCTAGCTTGCCCCACCCACAGTACCAAGAAAGAGGAGGTGCCATACAGGAACTGGAAATGATTCATTCTTATCATGGTTGACTTCCTTTTGTGGCCCAATTCCATTGTATCATAGCGTCGTAGAATCTCTGAGTTGAAAGGAACCTGAACTAGACCATCTAGTCCAGAGGTTTCCAAACTTATTTGGCCTACCACCCCCTTTTCAAAAAAAAAAATTATTCAGTGCCTCCCTAGAAATCAACTGTCTTCAACCCTTTAACATTTTTTTAAAAAATTGTATCATTTCAAAAAATAAGAATTTTTAAATGACATCTTAAATTTAATAATTTATTGTAAATGTGTGGGGGTTTTTTCCTGCAGTGAAATTTTGGTGATGCAATATTGTGTCATGTAACCATATAGGAGCGATATTGTAAGTAAGTCATTATGTACACATATTCCTGCTGATATATGCTGGATTTCCCAACAATACTTGACACAGTTGCCTGCCAACACTTGCTTGTTAAGACCTGTCTTCAGAGTTGACCACTGATTGGTTACAACTGGCATTTTGTGTGTTTATTTGGAAAAGAATGTAATCACCACGACTTTAACTCTATTACACAACAGATGAAACATGTATGGTTTTCAAAATTTTCTTATCTTTTCTTATACTTTTACCACCCCCTTATTTTTATTTAATGCCCCCCAATTGCATTCAAGGCTACTACTGCCCCCCCATTGTTCTAGTACCCTGCAGGGATTGGTATCACCCACTTTGGGAATCTGTGATAGTCCAACTCCCCAGCTAAAGCATGAATCTAGAGGAGGGTTCTTAAATTGGGGTCCACTGACCCCCCAAGGACTCCATGGATAGATTTCAGCCTGTGAATTTGGATGGGGAAAAAATTGCATCTTTATTTTCACTAACCTTGAACAGAAATTGACCATTTTCTTCAGTTATTTCAGAACATTCTGAGAAGAGGTCCATTGGCTTCCAAGGACTGCCAAAGGAATCCAGTGACACAAAAATGGTTTAGAATCCCTAACTAGGGGGCAGCTAGGTGGTAACAGTGGATAGAACACTAGTCCTGGATACAGGAGGACCTGAGTTCAAATCCAGCCTCAGATAGTTACTGTGTGACCTTGAGCAAGTCACTTAACCCTGATTGTATCCCCCCAAAAAAATCCCTAATAAGTAATAACTTGGTCATCTCTTCATTTCCCACCTGGCTGTACTTATTTTGGTCATTGTCTTCTGTACCATGCCCGTAGTAAAGTCATTACTGGGATATCTCATCTCTTTGCAAGTTGCAATCAGCCTCGTTACTCATACTTCATCAGTACTCTCTGCCCCTCTGATTGGAGGGCATAGCCATATTTTCCTCCATTTAAGGAGGGGAAGAAGGCTGACATCTCAGACATCTCATTTCCCTGCGCTTATTATGAACTTTCTTGGCTTCTCCATGGTGTCCCTGAGCCAGGTACCTTTTCCCCATCTCCTGCTTTTCACTTTATTTTGTGTGTTGACTTCCCACATTAGATCATAAACTCCTTGAGGGCAGTAACTTTCTTTTTCATATTTGTATTCCCCAGCCCCCAGGGTTTAGCACAGTGGTTGGCATATAGTAGATACTTACTAAATGTTAGTATTGACTATTGACTTGCCAATAGAGTAAGACAACTGGGAAAGTCTTACCAAAGAGAGGGAAAATATAAAAGCTTGCTGACAAATGAGTATATTCCTCTAAGAAAGAAATCAGAGATGGTAGTAGGGCAGGGGATGTGAGTGTAAAGGTGATATTAGGCTTCCCCTAATTTTTATCCTCTCCTGCCTCCTGGGTAAATGGGGCAAAGGCAGGTGGGACCCAGGTGGCACAGGGAAGGGAGGGAATAGATTCTAACCAAGTGAACTGGAGGTCTATGCAGACAGCTGGCAACTTTTCAGGAGAGTTGCAACAGCCAAAGGGAAAGTTTGGGGACCAGAAGAGGTCTGAGAACAGGGGTGTTATGAGACTCTAATGAGATAATTGATATAAACCACTTTGCAAATTTTAAAATGCCATATAAGTGCCAGTTATTATTATTATTATTACTATTGCTATTACTGTTATTATTAGCTAGAGTCACTAGGCCTCCAGTCTGATGATGACTTTATTCCTTAAGCATTCTACTGCACACTGAGTTCAAGCAATGTTTATAGAGCAATATAGGGGTGTGCCAGTAAATGTTTAACAAAGGGGGTAGGGAATGCATGCACACACTTTTTTTTTCTTTTTAAAAATTTTATATTTTTTCCCAGTCACATGTAATATGCACACACTTTTAAATTTAAATGGCCTTATTTAGCACTTTCTTAAGTCTAAACAATCCATAAAACAATAAATCAAGCCCTGATGTGTTTCTGCATTTCTAAGGTATAAATGCTCACACTGAAAATTTAACAGTGGGCTCTATCAGTGGGTTAGAACTGGCTCTAGAACCTACCTGTCTGAGAAGCAGCTCCCCAGGGAGGGGTAAAGAGAATTAAGATTGCAGAAGGGAGTCAGCACCAAGTCTGGGCCATGATGTCATTTCTTTCCAGGTTGCCCTCCTCATCAACCCAGAAACATCTTCATCCTTGAAGATCAATTAGCCCTGGAACTCTCCCGGGAAGCACAAAGCATACCTCCAGGTACAAAAGGTGAAGGGCTCTTCCCAGAACCTCCATTTAAGAAAGGCCAGCCAGCTCTTCATTTCCCACCAGGCTGTATTCCTCTGGATTTTTCTGTCATGCCTCTTCATTGGATATCTGCCCCTCTTCAGTTTCCTTGTATATGTTTCCTTCCCCATTAGAATGTAGGCTTCTTGAGGGCAGGGACTGTTTGTCTTTTTGTTTGTATTTGTATTCCCAGTACTAGCACAGTATCTGGTATTTAGTAAGCCCTTAATAAATGCTTATTGACTGACAGACTGACTGACTTCCTAAGGCTACCTCTGACTCCCTGATCGAAGGAAACTTTTCTTTCCCTTAAATCAAGAGAAAAGAAGAAATGTATTCAATAAGAGACAGTCATACCAGGATATGCTCTATAAATTCTTTGGGGACAACACAAAAATAGAAAAACCTTTTAGGTGCAGTGCAGAAACAGACTTTCCGAAAGAGTTTATTTGTAATGAGAATGGTAAATGGAGTGGCAATGTAGTATGATATTCAGAACATCTAGATTCAAATCTGGACTCTATTGCTTGTTACTTGTACAACCTCAAGCAAGTCACTTTACTTCTCTTGAGACTTCATTTCTTCATTTTTGTGTAAGAATATATCAAAAACTAAGGCAGCTAGGTGGTGCAGTGGAAAGAGTGCTGGGCTTAGAATCAGAAAGGCTCATCTTCCTGAATTCAAATCTGGCCTCAGACACTAGCTGTGTGACCCTGAACAAGTCACTTAACCCTGTTTGCCTCAGTTTCCTTATCTGTAAAATGAACCACTCTGATATCTTTGCCAAGAAAACCCCAAATGGGGTCACAAAGAGTTGGACACTACTGAAATGACTGAACAAAATATCAAAAGCTCTCCCTTATGAGAAATACAAGGAGATTGTGTGATTGCCACGTGTCACACATCAGACTCCTTTAACCCATAAGTCAGGCTTGCTCCCACTGATGACCCTAGTCAGGACAGGGCTCCCACCTGTAGTGACAGGTAGCTGATAACCACCACCCCTCCCCCCATCCAGTACCTGACTCACTTTTGCCTCAAGGTCTTAGCTCTGCTGAGCCTAAGGGACACATTCAGTGGTGCGCTGGAGCCAGCTCTAACCAGCCCGATGAGTGTTAAGTTTTCATTGTGAGCGTTCATACTTCAGAAATGAGCATACAAATCAGGGCTTGATTTATTGTTTTATTGATTGTCTTGACTTAAGAAAGTGATAGACAAAATGTTAATAATGTAGATTAAATGTAAAAGTGAATCCTGAGCACATTTTTCCCCCAGAGGGTCAGTTGCTAAACATTTGCTAGCTCACCCCTGGAAGTGTCTTGCCACATTATTCTCTCATTATAGTCTCTTTTCACTGGAAGCTTGCATGTGCTTATGGGTAAGTACACTTCCAATGAATTTGGAACTTCCCTATGGGGTCATGTCTGCCCTCCCCATAGCAGAACCATCCAATTTAGGAGCTCAGGAACACAGGAATACATAGATTTAGGCTGCTCTTTGGGGTGGGGGAAAGGGCAACGTATATGTCAGAGATCCCAAAACATTTCCTGAGGCTTAGCAGAGAAAGGAGCCATATTTTGCTGGGAATGCCTTTGCCTCCCCCATCTCCTAGACCTTTCGTTCCCTGGAATCATTGCCTTTCCTATCTCAGATTAAACTTTCCCTAGGGGTGGGAGGTTAAGAGTTGGGAGAAATGAACTTGGGACCAGAGTGTACTTGAAATATCTGAGCTGCTCTCCTCCTTGCTTAGCTGCTTATCCTAAAGGACCATTTCTTTGGAAGGACTAGTGCCTCCATGCCCCTAGTTCTTCTTGTTCTTCAGTCATTTCATTTGTGTCTGACTCTTCATGACCCCATTTGAGGTTTTTGTGACAAACTGGAAAGGTTTGCCATTTCCTTCTCCAGCTCATTTTACAGTTGAGGAAACTGAGGCAAACAGGGTTAAATGACTTGCCCAGGGTCACACAGCTAGGAAGTGTCCAAGGCTGGATTTTAATTCAGGTCTTCCTGACTCCAGGTCCAGTACTCTATCCACTGCACCACTTACCTGCCCCCTCTCCAATTCCCCTAAAGGAGAACAAATTTCAGCAAAATGATTAAAAGAAATCTATCCTGGAAGTCAGGAGAACTGTTTTTAGGATTATAATGTGGGGGGGGGCTCTCCTTTATGTCTTATGTTCAAACACCATTCCTGGTTCCAGGTAACCATGTGGAAACTTGAGGAGATACCTGCTTCTTGACAAGGATGACCCTGATTGATTGATGATAATCCAGTACATAGACAAAATAAAACAAACAAAAAAACCCTTCCAGATCCCTTTGACTTCCTTTCTTCCTTTTCAGTTGCCTCCTTAAGTGCAGTTCTCCAAATGTCATAATTTGACTCCAGCAAGGAAATTTTGGGCTTATCAAGCAAACTAAAGAAACTAAAATTAATTTTATTTTTAAAAGTTTACTTAAAACATACAAATTTTCCAAAGTGATCCTTTTAAACAAACCTTTTCTCTTCCCCTAAAATACAGAACAGCCTTGTCAGTCTTATCTTCTTAGCTAAAGAAACATTATTCCAACTGGATATATTGCCATGAAGAATCAGCAGTAGAGTTTAAAGCTGGGGTGGGGAACCCTTTGGCCCCAAGGCCACTTATGGCCCTGTAGGTCATCAAGTGAGGCCCTTTGACTGGATTCAGTCAAAGGGCTGAACTTAAGGATTTTGAGGGCCACATGTGGCCTGGAGGCTGCAGGTGACCCACCCTTACTTTAAAAACTGATGACCACAGGCACATCCCTTTCAAATTTAAAATGCTAATTTTTTGCCTTCCTTGCCAAAATTAACAAGAGCCCCTGGGGCAATATGTTAGGTCGACTGAACTAAGGAAAACAAAGAACATAACCAAAGGTGTCAAAGGAAGGGGAAAAGGGCAGTTAATTTTTGCCTGGCTTGCCTGGAAATGAAGTCCCCTGGCCTGAGATAGGCCTTCTGGAGTCTGGTAGGAGGAAGGCCTACAGAATGCCTATTTCAGACAGGAAATGGGCTCTGCAAAGCAGATGCATCACGAGAGCAAGTGAGACAGTGGTGCAGAGTGTCTAGAAGAGGTTCACAGAAAAAAACCTCAGGCTATGGGGCAACAAAGTCACTAGACAAATCTACTCCTTCCCCTGTACCAGAACCTCATGGATGGTAGAGGGGAAAGGAGTGGGAAGCAGGGAGAAAGCAGTGGGGAGCTGCAGCAATTGAAGGACCCTGGAGAATGGGAAAATGGATTCCTCCTTTGGCAAGATCTGGGTATCTAGTGACAGGGAAGTCATTACCTTCCACTTCTGGATCAGTCTAATTCTGTTGTCTACTCTGCTGTCATAGAAGGCTACTAAACAGAGCTAAAAGAATAGATCACTATTTAAAGCGTAGCTTTAAAATATTTTTGAAACCTAAAACCAAATTTTACAAGTGCTCAGGGACTACCTACTCAATTATATCAATTTATTTTAATGCCACACTTGCACTCTCAATCTAGATTGCCTTTGTATAGAAAGTAAAAGCTTGTTTTAGTATTTATTTGCATTATAATTTATATGTTCCACTGTCCTTCCACTAGGGGTCAGCAAGAGGCTATAAATGAATTCAATTCCAAGTGTCATTTTTGGCTTTAGACTCGAACCAAGCAAAGGAAACTAATCTTCTACATTCCATCCCACCAATGTAATTCCACTTTCTTCAACCCCAGACAGAATGGAGACGTATAGACTTATCCCAGGCAAAAGAGACGCTGATAATCAAAGAAACATCTCCCAGACAAAGTAGATTCACATGATTTTGAGGGTTGTTTTCTGATCATAAGCAATGTAATCTGGGTCTGGTTTAGAATAAGCAGAATCACCTGACTGTTGGGGGTAGAGGAGGAGGTGTAAGGGGCTACTTTGAGAGTGTTTGATTCAAAGGAAATTAGAATCAGATAATTGTATCAATTTGTTGGAAGTTGGAAAGTAAACTCCAACTTCTGGCCTTCCTTAGAGAAAACAGAATTTGACTCTTTTGTAATCCTGAGGCAAGATTTCCATGCTAACTTTATAACTCAAAAATGAATAACCTTTTTTACTGACTCCTGTCTTACAAGTTACTTCCTGAGAATTGGGCATGGATCCACAAGATCCCCCTATTGCAGCAGCCAACAAGTCTGTGCCTGAGATGGCAAAAGCTTCAGAAAAAGATAGTACTTTTTTCTTCTTCCACCAAAGACTTGAATGGAATATGGTATCTGTGCGTTAAGCCAAGGGTCAGAGGCTGACCTTACTTTAGCGTCTGTTGTGTAATCTAAATGCAGAGCAGTGTTCATCTTCCCTGCCAAAGAAGTTATTTCTTAAATCCTTCTGGTTGTTCCTTAAACTGTATTCACAGTACCATGTGATGGGAATAGGGGGAATAGCTATTTGCAATATTTTTCCCTTCTCAAGAACGAGATTACTTTTATATATAAACATATGAAGTATTTATTACATGTAACAATGATTTTGGTATGAAAATGAGCTTGATTTCAATTAATTTGGCTCCATTATTTCCCCAATATCTATTTATACCAAGGGTATTCCATATCCTTATACCCACTCCCATCTCCCATCACTGACCAGCATTTCTGGATTCAATCAATATATTTCAAGCTTTTCATTGGCCAAATGTATTTGACAAACCTAGATTTAAATGTGTGCATAAGGAACTAAAATTCTGAAAGTTTTGTGACAAAAAAGATGAGAAAAAATAGCCCAAGTATACTCATATATCCAGAATACCCTAATACACTAATACACATTCCCAGAGTTCACTAATACATACTTCCTAACATATACAAAAACACTCATACCCACATACACGCATACAGTTCAAAACACAGCTTTGAGAATTATTCTAAAGGCTCTCCTTTTTTATATACCTACAATTATGCCACTCTATTTTGATAATATGTGTGTATATTATATATGACATCCTTATATTATATATACATGCATGTGTGTGTATTTATAAATGTAGATAACATATCTCTATTTATCACAATGCATTCCAGATGTTCCAATCTTCAGTAATCTCTATTTCTGTAGTCTTGTATTTGTCTTTTCTTGGAGAAAGGGCAAGGTCTGGTATGCACATTAATTCACTCCCTACACTTGGAAAATTACTTATAAGCAGATATGTGGAACATAGAACCAGAAAACCAGAAAACTGTGCCTTAATCTTTAATCTATCTCTGGATTCCTTGAGTTAAGCTCAAGCCGATCAGTAAGACTCCCTAGAGTTCTAAAAGTGCTGATGCCAACGTGTAGAGAAGGAAGATGTTAACAATGACACATTTTTACTCCTTGACTCAAAGATGTTCAGCTAGTGGCATGAATTCAACTTTTCCTTCATTGTGATGGCACCTGGGAAAATATAATCACCAAGTTGCTGCTGATGGCCATCTCTTCTGGACCAGCCTCAACCAGAGAGGCATGAGAAACAGCACCCCGCTCTACTGCTGAAGTGGTGATTAGCCACACAAAGACTTGGACCCGTACACTTACCCCAGATGTTCTGTTAATACGTCCCTAAGTTGATGCTTAAAGTTAAATGCATGGCTTTTGTAGCACCGGTGGGACAGACAGATTTAGCCAAGGTGAGCAGGGAAGGAAAGTTAAGAATTTTCTAATTAAAGTAAAATCTAAGTTAAAAAAGTCAAAACTATGGATTTTTTTTTAAATGAGGTAGCTAGGTGGCATAATGGATAGAGTACCAGGCCTAGGCGCTCTTCTCAGGAAGACTCATCTCCCTGAGTTCAAATCAGGCCTCAGGCATTTACTAGCTATATGACCCTACACAAGCTACTTAACCCTGTTAGTCTCAGTTTCTTCATCTGTAAAATGTGCTGGAGAAGGAAATGGCAAACCACTACAGCATCTTTGCCAAGAAAACCCCTAATGGGGTCGAAAAGAGTTGAACGCAAATGAAATAACTGAACAACTATATAGTGAAATATGATATCTATGAGAATTATTAAGTAAAAGGAGTCAACAAAAGATTCTGTTTCACAGTGATGCTACATTATATAACAATGAATATTGAAAACAAAGTCTCAAGTTATATCACTTACTATATTTTCTGGAAAAAATGATTATTTTCCCTAAGGAATTTGGTGGAAAATGGTACACAATGAGCTTTAATAGACTGACATATTATAAACAAGGAACCACTGAGAAGTGGTATAAAGGTTGTAACCCAAAAGAAAGTATGACCAAGAAAGATGGGCCAGTCATTTAGCAGGAGTGAGGAACAGGCCACATGCTCCATTTATATGCTAGTAATATCAAGAGAACACAAAACCCTCAGCATATTGGGTAGATGAGAATCCCATGGGATGACCAGGCATGAATAAATCATGGTATCATAGATCTAGTACTGGAGGGGATCTCTAAGGCTGTCTAGTGTGTATCAGTGTTCAAATGGTATCAAACTCAAATAGAAACCAGGGCCACTAAACCTTTCATAAGGCTGCTGACTCAGAAAACCACATATTAACATTATCCATGTTCTATTGTATTTTTACTCATTTTGTTAAATATTTCCCAATTACATTTTAATCCAGGTTACTGAGATTATTGCAGCCTAGAGGCCTGCATTTGATACCCCTGATCTAGTCCAGTTCCATCACTTTACAGATACTCAGGCCCATAGGAGTTAAGTGACTTGTCCAAGATCACACAGCTAGTAACAGAGGTGGTATGTGAACCCAGGTCCTCTTTCTCCCAAACCAATGTTCTTTCCACTATACATCTGCAATGAGATCTTGGATACATTAGCATATTTTATTGGAGTTTAACTGAAAACAGAGCATTGTCTTAAATTGACTCCATTGCTAAAGGGGGAAGGGGTAGAAATGCCATGTAGTAAGACTCTCTCCTATAGGATTCCATTGTGATTTTTGGCAGTTACATGAGTTTCTGCAGATTTTATAAGTGACTTGTGAAATGGCAGATTGTGTGAAGATGAAACGTATGAGTGGAAAAAATTTTTAAGTTGATATGAATCCTAAGTGCACAGTGGTATGCATTCACAGAATCACGATTTAACTTTTGGATAGCCTGGGACCGAACTTGGGATTTCATTGATATGGGGAAACTTCTGATGAGTTCCTCCTTCTACCTCACATTCTCTGGTGCTTAGAGCCTCAGAGAATTGCCTGGCAACACTGAAAGGTTAAGTCACTTGCCCAGGGTCACGGTCAGTATATCCAAGGCAGAACCTGAATCCA